ATGAAAGCCTACGGCAGAGGGGCAAAACCTCACCGGAGAAGACGGACTGAGGCTACGACCTCCATAGCCGAGGGCCACCTACCCTAGGGCTCGACGCCCTTGACAACCTGGTTTCACGGTACCAGCGATCCTCGCCATCTCGCTCCACCTCGCCGACCCCAGCTGCCGCGCCAATCACCCCCACGTCCCTATCCACCGTGTCCTGCATCCATGCCATGGGTGATCAGGGCGACCTCAAGACCACCGTGGAGTCGCTCGCTGCCGCCGTCAAAGCCCTGCAGGCCACTGCGAAGGCCAACGCCAAGGCGATCGCCGCCTTGTCCTCTGAGTGTTCGTCCTCCTCGGGCAACAAGACGGGCTCTGGCGAACACCACAACGACCGGTCGCCGAAATTCTAGAAGATGGATTTCCCGCGTTATGATGGCAAGTCTGACCCTTTGATCTTTCTCAATCGCTATGACTCCTATTTTCATCAGCAGCGAATCATGGAGGAAGAGAAGGTGTGGATGGCATCCTATAACTTGGAGGATGGCGCCCAGTTGTGGTACTACCAAGTCCAGCAGGACGAGGGGACCCCTTCCTGGCGTCACTTCAAGGACCTCCTCCATCTTTGCTATGGTCCGCCCCTCCGCTCCAACCCCCTCGGCGAGCTCGCTGCGTGCCACCTCACGGGGACCGTGGAGGAGTACCAGGATCGGTTCTAGGCGTTGTTGCCTCGCGTCGGCTGGCGAGACAAAGTGCAGCGTGTTCAGCTATTCACGGTGGGACTCCAGCCTCCCTTGAGCCATGACATGGAGATCCACAACCCTCAGTCGCTGGCGGCGGCCATGAGCCTCGCCCGCAAGATCGAACTATGGAACAGCTACGTCGCGTTGGCCACACGCGCGCCCCTACACGATCCTCAGCGCGATCGTCCTCTTCTTCTAGCACCAGCGGCGTGCCTCGCTCTGCCGGCACCCACGATCGACAAGACCGTGCCGGCCACGATCACGGTGGAAGGCCGCCCTATCAAGCGGCTGACACAGGTGGAGCAGGAGGAGCGCCGCCGCCTTGGCCTATGCTACAACTGCGACAAGAAGTACGGTCGTGGGCACAACCGCGTCTACAAGCGGTTGTTCCTCCTCGACAGCGTGGTGGATGAAGATGACGCCGACAACGATGACGCGGCGGATGCGACACCAGGCACGAAGGCGCCGGTCTTCTCCTTGCACGCGGTCGCGGGCGTGCTGATCTGCGACATGATGTAGATCAAGGTGTCGCTAGGCGCCACCACCCTCGTCACGCTCCTCGATAGTGGCTCCACCCACAACTTCATTGCCGAGGCGGCGGCGTTGCGTATGGGGCTGCCTGTCCAACCCCGACCGCGCCTCACGGCGACCGTGGCCAATGGCAAGAAGGTTGCCTGCCCCGGCGTGATCCGGAACATGCCTGTCACCATCGACAACACTGACTTCCACGTCGATCTCTTTGTCATGCCACTTGCAGGGTACGATCTGGTCCTCGGAACTCAGTGGATGGCCACCCTAGGACCGATCGTCTGGGACTTCACCGAGTGTACCATGTCCTTCACGCGCCAGGGGCGTGACTTCTGCTGGGTGGGTGTGTCGACGCCTAGTGCACAGGGCTCTGCGCCGCGACGGCCAGCGAGTCCCTCCTCGATGAGCTGTTGGCTTCCTTCGGGGATGTCTTCACCGAGCCCACAGGACTACCTCCCAAGCGCGCCCACGACCACAGCATCATCCTCAAGCCGGGCGCGCCGCCGGTGGCAGTCCGCCCATACCGGTACCCGGCGGCCCATAAGGATGAATTGGAGCGGCAGTGCGCCGCCATGATCGAGTAGGGCATCGTCCGCCGCAGCGACTCGGCGTTCTCCTTGTCGGTCATCCTCTTCAAGAAAGCGGACGGCTCATGGCGATTCTGCGTCGACTATCGGGCCCTGAACGCACTCACCGTCAAGGATGTGTTCCCCATCCCCGTCGTTGACGAACTCCTGGATGAGCTCCACGGCGCGCGGTTCTTCACCAAACTGGACCTACGATCGGGGTATCATCAGGTGCGGATACGGCCGGAAGATGTCCACAAGATGGCGTTCCGCACCCACAACGGCCTCTACGAGTTCTTGGTGATGTCGTTCGAGCTGTGCAACGCCCCGGCGACATTCCAAACCCTCATGAACGATGTACTCCGGCCGTTCCTGCGTCGCTTCGTACTTGTCTTTTTTGACGATATTTTGATCTATAGCAAGACATGGGCGGATCATCTTCGTCACCTCCGTGTCGTCCTCTCCGAGCTTCGGCGACACCAGCTCTTCGTCAAGCGCGCCAAGTGCGCCTTCGGCGTCGTCTCTATCGCGTAGTTCGGCCACGTCATTTATGAGGCAGGCGTCGCCATGGACCCAGCCAAGGTGCAGGCCATTCACGACTGGCCAGTACCTCGCTCGGCGCGGGCGGTGCGTGGCTTCCTCGGCTTGGCAGGGTACTACCGCAAATTCGTCCACAACTACGGCACCATCGCCGCGCCGCTCACTGCCCTCCTCAAAAAGGATGGCTTCTCCTGGACTGAGGCGGCGGCCGCGGCGTTCGATGCGCTCAAGTCCACGGTCACCTCAGACCCGGTCCTCGCCATGCCGAACTTCGCCAAGACGTTCGTCGTCGAGTGCGACGCCTCGTCGCATGGGTTCGGTGCGGTGCTCGTTCAGGAGGGCCACCCGGTTGCATTCTTCAGCCGCCCCGTCGCGCCCCGCCATCGTGCCCTCGCTGCTTATGAGCGGGAGCTCATCGGCCTCGTCCATGCCGTCCGACACTACCGTCTGTACCTATGGGGCCACCGCTTCCTCGTCAAGACGGACCACTACAGCCTCAAGTACTTGCTCGATCAGCGGCTCACGACAATCCCCCAACTCCACTGGGTAGGGAAGCTTTTGGGCTTTGACTTCTTCGTCGAGTACAAGCCTGGGACGGCGAACGTGGTGGCCGACGCTCTCTCGCAACGCGACACGGCGGACGAAGGGTCCATCTTGGCCCTCTCGGCCCCTCGCTTTGACTTCGTCACGCGTCTCCGCCCGGCACAGCTCACCGACTCGGCCCTCGCCGCTATCTAGGACGAAGTGTGCGCGGGCTCCCGCGGGGCACCGTGGACGGTCGTCGACAACATGGTGCAGTTCGCCGGACGCCTGTACATTCCCCCGGCGTCCCCCCTCGTTCAGGAGATCGTAGCCGCTGTCCATGAGGATGGACATGAAGGAGTCCAGCGCACGCTGCACAGACTGCGCCGCGACTTTCATTTTCCTAACATGAAGCAGCTCGTGCAGGATTTTGTGCGTGCGTGCGCCACTTGTCAACGGTACAAGTCAGAGCACTTGCACCCAGCCGGGCTCCTCCTTCCGTTGCCCGTGCCGCAGGGGGTCTGGACGAACATCGCCCTCGACTTCGTCGAAGCTCTGCCTCGCGTTCGGGGTAAGTCAGTCATCCTGACGGTGGTGGACAGATTTAGCAAGTACTGCCACTTCATCCCCTTGGCGCACCCGTACTCCGCCGAGTCCGTCGCCCAAGCTTTCTTCACCGACATCGTCCGTCTGCACGGCGTTCCCCAGTCCATGGTGTCCGACCGTGATCCGGTCTTCACCTCAACGTTCTGGCGCGAGCTCATGCGCCTGATGGGCACCAAGCTGCACATGACCACCGCCTTCCACCCCCAGTCGGATGGGCAATCGGAGGCCACCAACCGCGTCATCATCATGTACCTGCGTTGCCTCACTGGGGATCGACCATGCCAGTGGCTGCGATGGCTTCTGTGGGCAGAGTTCGTCTTCAACACCGCTTACCAGACTTCGCTGCGGGACACGCCGTTCCACGTCGTCTATGGGCGTGACCCACCATCCATCCGGTCTTATGAACCGGGGGACACGCGAGTGGCCGCCGTCGCCAAGAGCATGGAGGAGCGCGAGGAGTTCCTGGCGGATATTCGTTATCGCCTCGAACAGGCTCAGGCGCTGCAGAAGAAGCACTACGACAGGACGCACCGCGACGTGTCGTATCAGGTCGGCGACTGGGTACTGCTCCGTCTACGCCAGCGCGCGGCTGCGTCACTACCCCAGGCGGTCACCGACAAGCTCAAGCCTCGGTACTTCGGCCCCTACCGCGTCACGGAGCTGATCAATGAGGTCGCCGTCCGCCTGGCTCTTCCTCCTCAGGCCCATCTCCACGATGTCTTCCACATCGGCCTCCTGCGCAAGTTCAACGGACCGCCGCCGAATGCTCCACCGCCTTTGCCGCCCATTCACCATGGTGCTGCCGCTCCAGAGCCGGAATGTGCCGTCCGGTCACGCCTGGCATGAGGTGTGCGCCAGGTCCTTGTGCAGTGGAAGGGGGAGTCACCTGCCTCGGCTACATGGAAGATGTGGAGCCGTTCGTCGCCAAGTATCCGGCCTTCCAGCTCGAGGACGAGCTGCGCCTCGAGGGGGGAGAGATGTCATGTGGGGGCGCATGTACACCAGGCGCCGGAGGGCCCGCGACGTACGCAGGGCTACGGAACAAGCAGCACGCGCGGGGAGCGCACACGGTGACGCGCAGGGCCAGGCCACCGCCAGTGGCTAAGATAGGAAAGATAGCGAGCTTTCTATTTTCAGTTCCTAAATTCCAGGAGCGTTTAGCTCTGATCGGTTGAGGCCGGTGGCCATATATTCCTGTAATCGCACATTAGTTTGGCAAGGAAGATTATTATCCCATCTAATCTCTCTCTCTCTCAACGAAAGCCTACGGTAGAGGGGCAAAACCTCGCCGGAGAAGACGGACCGAGGCTACGACTTCCGTAGCCGAGGACCAGCTACCCTAGGGCTCGACGCCCTTGATAAGTGTCTTGTGCTTCTTCAGGCTTCTCGTGTTGCTGGCTGCTAACAGGTCGGCCGGCAGGAGAGGTGGCCCGTTGAAGGCCACGTCGACGTACTCGAAGATGACGAGGGACTCACAGACTGCCAGGTCGCCATGGAGGAGCACTGGCACCTTGTGCACAGGGTTTTTGGCGAGCAGCAACTCACTCTTGTTGCTCAGGTCTTCCTGGATCAGCTCGTATGGCACGCCCTTGAGCTGCAGAGCGGCCTCAACGCGGTGCGCGAATGGGCTCGCGTAATGGCCAATGACCTTAACAGATGGAGACATGTTTCTTTCTGCTAGCTGGTTCTTGCTGCTTGCTGCTTGTTTCTATCTGCTTGTGCTTGGAGAAACTTGCTAAACCATTGCTATTTATTGGAGATAATCAAGATTGTTTGGCTGACATTGATATAGTCAAAGGTTTTGATATAATAAACCTAAGATGTAGTGAATCATATGCCTTGCATAAGCAGTGACCTCGGCATATCCATATGTGGGCATTTTTGTTCTGAACATAACTGAACAAGTCTCAGATTGTATGGCCGTAAGGGCGAACGTCATTCCATTAAGGAATTTCAGGTCTTACCTTTCAATTTGGTCAGAGTTGCCTCAAAAAAAATGGATGAGGAGATCTTTTGTTTAGATTTCGAGAATGTTTGGGCTTTTCTAACGCACTCACAGCTATTTTTGTTGAGGCAATTCTAACTGTACTCCTTGGCCCACTTGTTTGGGCTTTTCAACTTCCGTTCCAAAATATCTGACTGACAACAGTGAATATGAAGAATTCGTTTCAACTCTAAAACAGGGGAAGGATTTTGCCCCTTGAAGTGTCAAATCCATCTTCTTTTTTTACAGCTCCAATTTCTATCCAAGCTAAGACCGTATCCAGTAAATTAGCAATGTGAAAATTAGTACATTACAGCAGGTTCAGTACATAGTATAGATCAGAAATGTGAACCCCCACCAAAAATCAAAGAAAAGGTTTTAACCAACATGCTCGGAGCCTTCTACAGACATTACAGACATCAGCCATGTACTTGTACGACCATTCAAATTAAACTCGACCAGATTGCTTAACGATGGAGAATGAAACGCGAACAGTGAAACAATAACATTGATTTATTTTTATTTCCCCCCATTCCAAATTATTAGTTGTTCTATAGTTTGGTTCAACAACAATCTGTACTCTTTTCTGTGTGTCCAAATGGAATAAGGTACAGACTGAACAATGATAAGTACAGACTGAATTGAATGTTCCAGCGGTAATTTTGTTACACTTATTATTGTGAACTAAAACAACAGAATTACAGAACGAAACATGCATGACATCCAGATCACTTGCGCAGAGCAGTCCTGGCTCGCAGCAAGTACATCTCCTTCCTCGCGGAGAAATAGGCGACGAGCTCGTCCCTGCTCCTCAAGCACTGCTTCACGGTGGCGTCGTTCACGTAGGCGTCGGCCCACTCGCGGAGCGCGGGGAACTCGTCGCCGTTGACGAGGGTCACCCCGGTGACCTCCTCGATGACTCCAATCCAGTGCGCCAGCCCACAGGCGGCGATGTCGATGAAGCCGATAGCGTCGCCGCCGAAGAACTTCCTCCCCTTGAGCTGCGCCTCGACCAGAGCCAGGTTCTCCTTCGCCTCCTTCGCGAAGGTCTTCTTGACCTCCTCGTCGTCCGTCCAGAACGACATCCAGAACGGCCGCGCGAACTGCGCGATCGAGCATGTGTCAAACGTTGACTATTAGCGAACTCAAGATCATAGCTTTTTTCCCCAAAAAGAAGAGAGATCGATCTTGGTACCTTTTGGTCGATGAAGTTGGCCCAGAACCGGGCCTCTGCCCTCGCGTGCGGGTCGGCGGGGAGGAGCGGCGGCCCGTCGAAGGCCTCGTCGACGTACTCGACGACGACGAGAGACTCGGAGATGGCCCTGTCGCCGTGGAGTAGCACGGGCACGAGCTTGTGCACGGGGTTGTGTGCCAGCAGCAGCTCGCTCTTGTTGCTCAGGTCCTCCAGGATGAGCTCGTAGGGCACCCCTTTGAGGTGCAGGGCCACCTCGGCGCGGTGCACGAACGGGCTGGCAAAGGAGCCGATCAGCCTCACCGCCGCCGGCTCGGTGGTCGTCATCTCCTCTGATCTTCTACCTCCGGTCCGTTCTTCCGGTGAAGGAAGCTTTATTTGTTTAGAACACTTGTGATGTAAGTACTACGAGCTTTGCCACTCCTGCTCTGCACTTGTAGTGTGCTGGTCGATGGTGTACACTGCACACGCAAGCAAGTTGTATCAGAATATTGAGCTGGTGCGGCTGATGAACGTGCTTTGGTCATAGAGTATCGCCAAAAGAACGGGCGATGTATCAGTTGGACGATGGTGTTATTGCTCTTTTTATTATGCAATTGCTTTTCTTTTTTTGATGCTGCAGGGCTTGTTTAGGACTCGAAGATGCTTTCCCACGGTCCGAAGCTGTTGCGTGCCACGTCACTTAGAAGCCGACATTGACTGGGCCTAGCGGTGCTAAAGTTGCCATGGTCTCGGCCGGTATCAGTGGGTTCCATTCAGCCCAATTGCTCCCTACATCAAATATTACTACGGTAATGCTCTCCTCACTCGCCCAAACAACCCCCTCCTATCCGCTCGTTCGACTCTCCAGACATCATAGCTTCTAAAAATAATAATAATAAACCCACCGCAGCGGAGCTCGGCCAGCGCACAGCTCGCAGTGCTTCACCCGTGCAGCTCGCGGCGACCACCTAGGGTGGAGGCCGCCCGCGCACTTATCGTGCTCCGCCTGCCTAGTTCGCCATGGTTGGGGTGGATCTCTCCTGCGCGTAGCTCGCGACAGCTGGGATGGAACTCGTCGATGGATAGCTCACAGCAGAGCTTACCCTGCGCACAGCTCGCGCTCCACTCGCATAGTGTGGAGACCCGTCGCGCCCTTCTCTATCGGAGCGTCGATCTCCATGCCACCGGCGAGCTCTACACCGGTGAACTCCACACGCCGACAAGCCTCCATTCTCCTAGGCAGCAAGGAGATGTTGCGCTGAAACCACTTGCAAGTGTCTGTTTCAAGGTATGTTGCAAGTGTTTTATATTGATGTTGCAAAAGTAGATCAGAATGTTGCACAAGTTGAAATAGTGTTTCAAGTATATGTTTGATATGTTTCATCTGTTTTCAGACGTATGTTGCAAGTGTTTTATCTGGATGTTGCAAAAGTAGATCTGTATGTTGCATATACATGCATGTTGCAAGTGTATGTTTCAAGTATCTCAGGTGTTTCATACGTATGTTGCAAGTATTTCATTTGGATATTGCATATGTTTTGCAATGGCTACAGTGCTACACACGTGTTTTCCTGGTGTTTCAGACGTATATTGCAAGTATTTCAACTGTTTCAGACATATGTTGCAAGTATTTCATCTAGATGTTGTAAAAGTAGATATGATGTTGTACATGTTGCAGTGGGACCTACTTGTCGCAGCTGCCTACTACAGCTCCTGGGCCTGCGTGGATGCGCGTGGGAGCAGAGGGGGCGCGAGCGGCAGGCGCGGGAAACGGAGCAGGCGCAGATCGTGACGCGGCCCCCGCGTGGGCACGCGCAGGGTTTAGGGTTTCAGGCCCCCACATGAAGCAGGTGTAGGTGTGCTGGCACACGCAGCAGCATTTGTATTTTAATGATCATCAAACAGTCTAGATTATCCGAAGAGACCATACCTAATAGAATCAATGTATAACTAATATTAAATACCAAAAGCTCCGGACAGTGAAGAGTTTGTTTCATCCCACTTTTTTTACTTTCCAAACCGCACTTACACCCTTCTTGGCTCGTTTGTAAGACTCATATGACCCATGTTCAAACGACTTACAACAATTTGTGCCTAGTCACGATGGATACAAAGTCGAATTCCAAAATGTAATACGTCATGCCCCCCATATCTTGTATGTGACCTAAACTTATAAGCCATGCTCATATAAGTTAGAACAACTCGTATCTAGCAATAATATAGAGGCCGATTCCAATATGTATTGGGTTCTGTTACGACGCACAGGTATGTTTTCTAGTTATAACATCTATGAAACTTTTTACAATGGTTGGGGGGAATTTCGACGGCTCATGTCGCACGATCCGACAGCTAGAAAGGCAGAAAGCGATGAGAGATGATGGGAGGGAGGCGATATATGTGTCTATGGTCGATGGACCTCACCACCTATATCCAAATTCAAAACTACAAGATGCAAATGAAAACTCCTTATATAGGAATCGATAAGACATGCTACTACGACATGTTCCAGAATTTAAATTTAAAAGAATAGCCAAGTAACTGAATAGTTTGTGAGAAACTTGGATAGTGATTTTATAAAAGGTTGGAGCTATCTCAACAAGAATAAACGAAAGCTATCTTGATCTAGCCTTGGCATAAATTGCATAGTCACGGATAGAAGTTGGGAAAAAAGGAAGAGAAAAGGGATAAAATACCTTTAAGCCAAAAAAAATTTTGCCCGACAATGGCTATCGCATACTCGTGCTGCCCGGTGCAGTAGGTGAGCGAGTGGCCGAGTGCGACGGCGAGGGGCGACTGAATATGCCAATAGCTACATGACGACGACGAGATTACTGTTTATTTGGGCAGCATCGAGTTGGCCACCGAGACGCACTTGTCCGTGACGGCGGCGAAGTGGGCGAGAAGCCGCGCCCGGTCAGGCAGGCACGACTTCACCGCTTCGCGGGACCTGTACTCTGCCGCCCACCGGCGCAGGGCAGGGAGCTCCTCACCGCTCGTCATGACGTTCACTCCGGCGACCTCCTCCAGCACGCCCAGCCAGTGCGCAAGCACGCCGCCGCGGACTATGTCGGCGAGGCCGATGGCGTCGCCTCCAAAGAAGCTCTTCCCCTTCAGCTACTCTTCCACTAGCTTCACCGCTTCCGTCGTCATCTTCGCCTAGCGCCGCTCAGGGATTGTCGTCGCCCCCGGTCATATGGAGCTGCCTTCTTTCTATATATACAGGACTGCTACAGTTGTTGGGTGAGCAGAGCTTCAGTCGTCGCAGACATGCAGATCAAAAGCGGATGATCCATTTCTTTTGGTTATCTTGTCTAGAATACTCCCTCTGGTTCTCTAAAGTAAGTCATTTTGAACATCGATACGGTCTTTAAGAAATGACTTTAACCGCTACTTTTTGCTATAAAATATTTATAAAATATAGTCAATATATACTTTTATGAAATTACATTTCGAGACGAATCTACTTACATCACTTTCATATTTTCAAACTCAACCCAAAAGAAATTATTTGTAGTCAAAGTTTAAAATGTTTGACTTAAGACAACCTCAAAACGACTTGGTTTAGAGAACCGGAGGGAGTACTGTGTATAAATAATCCTACACAGGACCGTAGCACATTGACCAATGGACGATGGAACGAAATTGGTGCGAAGCACTCTGTTCGTTCGCAAGAGATTCCAACTATAAACACTAGTACTTTATTTCTCACATGACAAACAAACACAGCACGGTCAACAAGTACTGCATTACAGAACGATGTAGATGTAGTCACCTGGCTGACTAACTCGATCAGTTCGGCAGCATGGACTTCGCTACCGAGATGCACTTGTCCCTGATGGCGGAGAAGTGGGCCAGGAGCTGGTCCCTGTCCGGCAGGCACGCCCTGACGGCTTCGTCGGCAAGGTACTCTCTCCCCCCAGCGGCGGAGAGCAGGGTACTCCTCACCGCCGCCAAGGACGGTCACTCCGGCGACCTCCTCCAGCACGCCGAGCCAGTGCGCCAGCACACCTGCGCCGGCTATGTCCGCGAGACCGATGGAATCGCCTCCCAGGAACCTGTTCTTCTTCTTCCCCTTGAGCTGCAGCTGCTCCTCCAGGAGCGCCAGGTTCTCCCTCGCCACCTTCATCGACGCCTCCTGCGCCTCCCCCTCCGTCCACAGCGCCGGCCACAGCGACTTGAGGCACTGCATGCTCACCGATCATATCACACAGGACGTACGGAAACCACATGCATGAACGCGATTGCTAGCTGCTGCTACTTACTTACCTTGTCGTCAAGGAAGTGCGCCCAGAAGCGGGCGGCGGCCCGGTCGTAGGGGTCGGAGGGGAGAAGGGGCGGCCCGTTGAAGGTCTCGTTGACGTACTCGACGATGACGAGGGACTCGCAGACGGCGCGGTGGTCGCCGTGGAGGAGCACGGGCACCTTCTTGTGGACGGGGTTGCTCGCGAGCAGCAGCTGGCTCTTGTTGCCCATGTCCTCGCGGATGAACTCGTAGGGCACGCCCTTGAGGCGCAGGGCCACCGCGGCGCGGTGCACGAACGGGCTGTTGGCCGAGCCGATGAGCCTCACCGGTTCCGGTGTCGTCATCTTCTCCTCTCCGATCGGCGGGTTCCGTTGCAGACGGCAGAGAGAAGTCAGAAACGTTATGTTGTCTTCTCTGCACCTTCTGGCTGGCCTAATAGGTGCTTTGCCATGACGAAATGACGTGGCAGTTTCCACACCAACCTGTTGTCATTGTCACCGCCCGTCCCGGCCCGGCCTGGCACTGTTGGTCAAAGACGATCAAGTTGACTAGGTCCTCAAAAGCGGAGGGACTCGTATAGGCCGTGGGCTGGATTTCAGAGTCCTTCATGGAGGCCCATATCACCATCCCGCCCCGTGCAGGCTCCAGATGGCAATGGGGCCTTGATCCACGATTCTCCGCGGGGAATTCCCCTATTAGGGGACGGGGATGGGATCAATTGACCCCCACGGGAATTTAAATGGTAGGAAATCAGTCCCCGTCGAGTCTGGTGGGTACGGGGATGGGATCAGTCCCCCGTCCCCGATCCCCGCAAACCCGATCCGCTAAGAATACACAGTGTCGCAGGCATAAGATCCATGTCAATTCGGCCCATCTAAGGCCCATCGGTGGCTTGAGTATATATATATATAAACCTGTAACCCTAATCTCTCAGCTCAGTTCTCCAATCCCCCGGCCGCCTCCACTCTCCCTCTGCACCTCCCCCATGACTCCCCTGCTCCTCCTCCTCCGCCGCCTCCTCCCCCTCGCCTCCGCCGCAGCGGCGCTACCCACAGATTTCACCGCGCTCCTTGCCGCCAAGTCCTCCCTCTCCGACCCCACCTCCGCGCTCGTCGCCTAGGACCCACGACTCTCCCCGTCGCCCTGCCGCTGGCCGCACCTCCTCTGCTCCAACCGCTCCTCCATCTCCGATGCCCATGCCCCAGCCGTCGTCGCCTCGCTCGGCCAGCCCCAGCCACTCCCGCAGCCGCCAGAGTCCTAGGCGCAGACGCCGACCACGGCCTGGGCGCGATTCATGCCGTCGCGTGTCCTCGCCCCAAGCTCCTCCATCCTCCCTTGCATGCAGCATCCCGGCGCTGCTGCCTAGTACCTCCATCTGAAGGAAAGATGGCTATTGCCGTGTTGCATGACTTCGTCTCCTTTTTCTCAGCCTGCTAGTGGACAGCAGAGGCGTATCTTGCCTTTTTTGCATTACCGTCTCATCCTAACACAAGCACTTGTTTATTTGTGAGATTTTGTTATTAATTTGTTTGTGATTTTGGCCTCAAAGGAGCTGAGATTTGTAAAACTAAGCGATTCTATTTCATGTTGGTGCAAGATGTGTTTGTGATGAACATTTCTTTTCTAGATTGGTGATCTGAGTAAATTTTTTCCCAACTTATATCACGGGGACGGGGACCCCGTTGGGGATGGATTCCCCGCTCGGGTTCGGGGACGGGGAGATAATGTCCCCCGCGACCTTTGACGGGGACGGGGACGGGGACGGGGAAAATCTTTCCCAACGAGGACGGGGATGGGAAGACAATACCCGACGGGGAATTCCCCGTTGACATCTTGAGTGCAGGCAGACCAGAATAAATGGGCTACGGGTGAACTGATATCAGGCTGGGCGGCTGAGTGGGCTCGACGGCAGAAACGTCCCTGTGCACCATCGGGTTACTGCTGACACTATCCACGTCTAGACGCCCACGCCCACGCCGCTGCCCCTGTCCCCGCGCCTGCTCGCCCATGTCTGCCCTGCTGTGCCCTCCCACGAGCACGTGGGGCATGTCCACACCAGTGGGGACCGCATCTACCTGCGCTCGCTTCCCGCACCTGACACTGAGGAGAGACAACAGAAAGGCGAAGAGGAAGATGCAACACCTCATCTAATTTTAAAACATCCAAATGCAACGATTGCAGCATACGTCTGAAAACAAATAAAATATTTAAAACATGTGTCTGAAACTCTTGCAAAAACACATGAAAAACACTTAAAACTATTTTAATATACGCAACAGATAAAAACACTTGTATTATATGTATCAAAACATATGCAACATCCAGATAAACACACTTGCAACGTACGTCGGAAAAAAAGATGAGACATTGAGAACAGGAGTTTGCAACATATGCAACATCCTAAAACATCTGAAACAATTAAAACATACTCTTGCAAATTACGCTTTCAATGCAACATCTTCTTGCTGCTCGGAAGAATGGAGGCTCGTCGGTGTGTGGTGTTCACAGGAGCGCAGTGTGGAGAGCAAAACCAACGGCGTCGTCCAGTGTCGCGTGCTCCGAGAAGGCGTGGTGGTCGTACTTGTGCGCGACTACCCAAACACTGTTCAGTGCGCAACCGTGCGCCACCCAGTAGAGCGGACACACTGCCAAGCAGAGCGCGCCACCGGCAGGGAGCGACAGGATCGCCACCAGCGCCACGTAGAATTTTTTTTATTTTTAACACTTTTTTGTAACCTAATTTTAAATCTCACACTGTTTTATTTTATTTTTTTTCCAAAACTAACACTTTTGGCCGCGCCTATTTCCCGAGCGTGGCGAAACGCCTGTGCCGCGCCATGCATGGTGGCGCGGCGAGGGGGATGATGTGGCGACGACCGGGGCGCTGACCGGTGACGTGGCAGGGTCTGCCGCGCCACCGATCTTGGCGCGGCACTGACGTGCCAAGGCCCACGACGCGGCAGGACCTGGACGCAACATTAGTGGGATTGAGAGGACGGATGGCCAGGAACGGGCGAAAGGTCATCCTGTTCTTCTCCTCTCCTGTAGAAAATGTTTCTGCACAAATCACTGTAAGCTCTCCTTGTCCTCTGGTCATTTCTATCGATTTCTTTTATTTAGATAGCCGAGGAAATTCCTTTAACCTATACATCATTAGAGTTTCGTGCTTTTGTTTCTTCCGTAACCTAGCTGTCCCCCTTGTTAGTTCCATTATTTTCTAATCTCTCTCTCTCTCTCTGTGTGAGATGATCGTTCATGTAGTTTGCATTCCTATGGTTCAGATTTGGGCAAAAATTGAGGCTTAGTGTTGAAGTTGATTCGACTCCCCTCCTTCTCGGTGCTTCAACGAAATCCTATATTCTGATTTGGCTTAAAGAACTTTGAATTGGACAAATCCGAGCTTATTTAGATCTTAACCAAACACTAATTAGGTCTTAGGGTTCAAGAATTAGGCTAAGCGGCTTCTCAGATACCAATTGTTAGAACTTATACTTAGACAATATCTTAATTAACCTAATTACAGGAACGCCTAAACTAAAATTAGCACTTAATTAGAACTTTAATCAATCTTACTCGCTTAAAGATGCACCTAGGGCCGGCGGTCGTGGCACGCCGGCGTTCGTAGCGGGCGGCCGACGGCAGGCGCGGCGGGCGGGCAGGCGGCCAGGAGGGCAGGCGCGGCGACGGGCAGGCAGACAGAGGGAGGGCGGCTCGCGGACGATATTTACCTAGGACTGTCGCTCCGTGAGGGATGGCGCGTCAGTGTCGCTCCAAGATCGGTGGCACGGCAGACCCTGCCACGTCACCGGTCAGCGCCCCGGTCGTCGCCACGTCATCCCCCTCGCCACGCCATCATGCATGGCGTGGCACAGGCGTTTCGCCACGCCAGGGAAATAGGCGCGGTCAAAAGTGTTAGTTTTGGAAAAAAAACAGTGTTAGATTTAAAATTAGTTTACAAAAAGTGTTAAAAATAAAAAAAATCGCCACGTAGAGGAGTGCGGCGATGGTAGAGAGGTCGCGTAGGAGGTAGAACGAGGACCTGAGCACGGAGCGTCGGAGGCAGTACGGCGGCATGGCGCTCCTGATGTCGGCACTCGGAGGCGGCAGGCGAGCAGATAAAAGCGATGAAGAGAAACAAATAGATAGGAATGAATGGATGAGCAGATTTTTTAGAAACGAAGGAGCGTGGGTTATAGGGTTGGCGTGCGGCCTACCAACCAAGCCTCCGACGGACGGACGCTCGCTTCAGAGAATTACCATTCCTTTTCCAGTGTCAGGTATCCTTTGGTTTAGAGATGAGATGAGATGAAATGTTCCCGTCTCTAGTTTTGAGACAGAAAGATTCTATTTTCTATTTGGTTGAAGAGATATGAGACTAATCCGTTTTGTATTTGGTTTAGAGAAATCAAAAGTGGGATCACCTACCTGATAGGTATGGTCCACGTGCTCGTCTATTCCCATGCTTCATCTTCCTTTCCCATTGACATCTAAGACCCATTTTTCATTTTTTTTTCTCCTCCTTATCCTTTTGTTCTTAACCACCTGTGCGGTGGGCACGCATTACCGCCGCCTGTGCCTCCACGTTCATGAGCGGATCTATATAAACTATACCTGATGCAAGTGCACCCACAAAAATATAAAAACAGTGATTATGATCAAAATTTCAATATATTCGCGCCCATACGATAAAATCCTATGCAGCCACAAGGCAAGCGCACCGCCCTCATATTTGCTCTAGCTCCACCCCTGTCCACATTCATGGCTCCGGTAGAGCCACGGGTGAGACTATGAACCAAATATTTGGCCAAAGTGGGATATCCTACTTGGGACCATCCCATTCCTATCCTAGAACCAAACATATGGAATAGAAAGGATAAGTGAACCCATCCCATGTCGGCATAAAAAGTGGTTTTTGACCTCATTTAAAGCTGGATGAGACCCGAACCGAATTTAAAGATCCAAAAATAGTATTTTGATAGTAAAGGGATCTGGATGACATTTCTTCTTAAGTTGAAGGATCGGTCATGAATTTTAATCGTGATAGGTGATCCCACTTAAGCAGTCTTAAGAACATACCATGCAATCATCATAACAAATATGTAGGATGCATCGTGTTACACCAAATTAAAATCTTCATTACATAGCAATACATTCCTAAGTCAGGAAAGTTCTTGCAGAATACTCCTAGAATAGGGGTACCGAGTACCCAACAGAAGCACGAAACCAAACCACATCAAACTTCATCACAAACCAGATTGAAAGGTCAGAATATGGAATTTCTTACTGGAATGACAGAAAGGTGTAAATAAGAAATTTCGAGGCCCGAACTGAAACTCTCTGAGTTACGTGTACGGGAGAAAATTGCTCACATATTTTCATGCTGAGGTCACTGCTTATGGCAGCATATGGTTCATATTCTCTAGCTCCCGGCCAGCTTGCTCTGTGACTGTATATAGTACTATTACATATCTGCCTGATCCGCTCGTGGGCTGGTTTCTCTAGCTTATAGGTAAACCAAATCTCTGTAGATTCTGTAGCTTGTAGGTTTGCATTCAACGATTCTGTGGGTTGAATCAGCTAAGCAACTTCTTCTAGATCTATTTGACGGTTGTCGAAAGGAAAGAACAGAAACGAGAAGACGTGGACCTTGGATTCTTCTTCTTTCTTCCACAAGAAGCAGTGCACCTGCCTTTAATTTGACTATACATCGATGTGAGCCAAGGATTTCCTATAAATACAAATAGGAATGGTCTAGTATGTTTCTCCAAGCAGATACCAGCAAGCCACAACCAACTAGTAGCAGAAGAAACATGTCTCCGCCTGTTAAGATCATCGGCCATCCGGTAAGCCCATTCTCGCACCGCGTCGAGGCCGCTCTGCGGCTCAAGGGCGTGCCATACGAGCTGATCGAGGAAGACCTGAGCAACAAGAGCGAGCTGCTGCTCGCCAAAAACCCTGTCCACAAGAAGGTACCCGTGCTCCTCCATGGAGACCGAGCCATCTGTGAGTCTCTCGTCATCGTTCAGTACGTCGACGAGGCCTTCGACGGGCCGCCTCTCTTGCCGGCCGACCCCAACGACTGTGCCATGGCCCGTTTTTGGGCAGACTTCATGGACAGCAAGGTACTCAGTTTTATTGAGAAACAAGAAGCCTGTTCTTGTAGTGAAATCTTTATTTTAACGAATACGCACGAGACTGTGCCCTTTCTATTCACAAAGCAGGAGTAGTGAAATCTGAAAATAAATCTGCTGGTTTTATTGAACTCTGCTGATGAACCTGAACAGCTTCTCAAGCCGTTCTGGCTGGCACACTGGATAGAGGGCGAGGCGCAGAAGGCTCAGGTGGAAGAGGCCAAGCAGAACCTGGCGCTTCTGGAGGAGCAGCTCAAAGGGAGGAGATTCTTTGGAGGCGACACCATCGGCTACGTCGACATAGCCGCCTGTTTGTTAGCTCCTTGGCTCAGCGTGATAGAGGAGGTGACTGGAGTGACTGTGGTTGACGAAAACGAGTACCCTGCTCTACGCCGGTGGTCCAGAGAGTACAATTCCTACGAAGCTCTGAAGCAGTGCGTCCCGGACAGAGACCAGCTCGTCGCCTTCTATAATGAAAGGAAGGAGGGGTACAAAATGTTTGCTAGTGCATGGTTGCAACAGTAGTTGGGTTCTACAAGTAGAACAGGTCTTTATGTGTGGAATAATAATGGGGCAGTTCGGCTGGTACAAAAACCAGCCGGATTTCACCGTGCGCGGCTGAATTTCACAGTTTACTCTCACGAATTCCTCTAGATTCATTCAGATTCCTCCAAATTCCTCCAAACGAACAGGGCCAATGTATGGATCACAAAGGGCCTGTGCCGGAATAACATTAATGAGAGCCTAGCTAGATAAGTAGATAACCATGTGCATGTCTCAGGCAGATGGATTATCTGGGAGTTTAGATGAGTTGACCATCGAAACCCCAATTCAAAACATCCACACAAGTTTTCCATCTCGATTTTGAAAAAAAATCTAATTCCAAAATTTTTCTCGGAATTAAAATTGCTCTTCTCAGTTTTAAATAACTGTTCTATCAATCAACCCTCGAGCACGCGCTAAATTTGTGGCTTCCATCTAATCAAAATTGGTTATTATTGGCAAGCTAAGTGTATCTTAGTTGATTAGGTTCTTTGTGTTGGATTCAATAGCGGGCTCAGGATTTTAAGCTTGGGTATTCAAAATTATGAAGGGGCATCAAAAAACATTTTGGTAACCTAAAGCAGTGATAGGCCTGAAGTTTTGTCAAAGCGCACCACACAAAAAATTTCATATGAAAGTCAGTAAAATCCAATGTAGAAATTCAGTAAGCAACGGTAAAATTTGCTCTGCAATTTGGTATTTTACAGTAACTACAAACTAAGGTAAGTTTGTGCTCTATATGTAGTGCAACATAGCATTAATTTTGTTGAAACTAGTTCTATATTTCCGAGAACATATTTCAAATTCGGTTAAAATTATAAGTATAACATACTGCAATACTCTCTTTGAGTTTTGACCATTAAATTTGTCACTTATTCTTTTTTTTTTGAACAAACACTATGCCAGAAAAGATAATAATTGTCGGACTATCACAGCTGATTGTTTTGGAACTGACAGTGATAGGGTATCACTGCCGGTTCGTACCTTCAACCAGCAGTGATAGTAGATCTGACAGTGATAGGCTATCCACGATCACTGTCGGGTCATAGTTTGAACCGTCCGTGATAGGCAAGTCATGGCAGAGAATCATTTCCCCTGTTTTAAGTTGAAAGCTTAACCTTCAAAGTTGAAACGAATTCTTCATATTCCCTGTTGTCAGATATTAGATATTTTGGACCAAAAGTTCATAGGCCAAACGAGTAAAGTCTCAAAATCTGAACTGAACGTTTCCCTGGCCGAAATTGGAAGTTCAGAACCTTAAATTTCTTACTGGAATGACGGTTGCCGTGACGACGCTACAAACTGAAACTGAAAGAAGTTTCCATGCAAAACTGAAACTTGTCCAGCTATGTTCGGAAGAAAAATGCCCACAAATGGATATGCTGAGGTCACTGCTTATACCAGGCATATGGTTCTCTATAGCTCCAGATCTTTGGTAAATAAAACCTCTCTGGCCTAAGCTGCATTAATCCTAGTGATCATGGAGACATGTACTAACGGGTCCACTTCCACCCGAAGGCTTAATTGCATCCAACTGAAATTTGGCTTATGCTGATGCTTATGCTAAAATGTTGTGAAAGAAAAATAATGTTCGTTCGCTGAAAAATACTGTTGAAGTAGTGCAGCAGAACAGGGCCTGATTGTTTGTGGACTGAAGCAACCAAGCAACTTGTGGAATTTTTTAAGCATTAGACTATCAGATGGTTGGTAAAAGTGCTCCTTCTTGTAGAAGCAGCAGCCCACCTGCCTTTGACCATACTGATATGAGCCAAGCAATATTGATTTTTCTCCTATAAATAGGAATTGTTCAGTAAGTTTCTCCAAGAAAACAGCAAGCAGCCTGAACCAGCTTAGGCCGCGTTTAGTTCATCAGCCGATTCGGCGCCGCCCAAAAAAGAGGTGTACTATAGCTACAGTACTATTTTGTTTTTATTTGGTAATATTTGTCCAATCGTTAACTAGTTAGGCTCAAAACGTTCGTCTCGCAGAAAGATGTCTCCGCCTGTTAAGGTCCTCGGCCATTTCGCCAGCCCATTCGCGCACCGTGTCGAGGTCGCTCTTCAGCTCAAGGGCGTGCCATACGAGCTGATCCAGGAGGACCTAAGCAACAAGAGTGAGCTGCTGCTCGCCAACAACCCTGTCCACAAGAAGGTGCCCGTTCTCTTCCATGGCGACCGGGCCATCTGTGAGTCTCTCGTCATCGTCGAGTACATCGACGAGGTCTTCGACGGGCCGTCTCTCCTCCCGTCCGACCCCTACGACCGTGCTATAGCCCGTTTCTGGTCAGACTTCGTGGACAAGGTATTCTCATTTCAAAAATTAGAAGGCCCCGGTTCTTCTGAAATCTGAACATCTGCTTGTTTTACTGAACTCTGGTGTGATGAAACAGCTCACCGTGCCGTTCTGGATGGCACACTGGGCAGAGGGCGAGGCGCAGAAGACTCTAGTGGAGGAGGTCAAGCAGAAGCTAGCGCTTCTGGAGGTGCAGCTCAAGGGGAAGAGGTGGTTTGGGGCGACACCATCGGCTACGTCGACGTAGCCGCCTCTGTGTTGGGTCCATGGCTCAGCATGGTAGAGGAGGTGACCGGAGTGGTTGTGCTTGACGAAGAGGAGTACCCTGCTTTACGCCGTTGGTCTAAGGAGTACAATTCCTACGAAGCTCTGAAGCAGTGCGTCCCGGACAGAGGCCAGCTCGCCGCCTTCTATACCGAACGGAAGGAGAAGTACAAAATGATTGCTAAAGCATGGTTGAAGCAGTAAGCCAGTAACATGTCTTTGTGTGTGGAATAATGTATGGATGACAAATGGCCGGCCTGTGTTCAGATGGAATTATAGTACTGTACTGTAGTTACTAGGAGTACTTTTACTAAGTGTATTTGCATTTGTTCTCTGTGGGCTACCTGCTAATTTCCAGCCCATTCCAATGGTCAACTCATATAAATAAACCCAGTTCAAAACCTTCCGATTTCAATATATGTAAAACATCCACACACAAGTTTTTTGAATGGCTTCATTCCAAAAAATTTCTCCGATTTCAAATTGCTCGTCTCAATTTTGAATAATTGTTCTATCAATCAGCGCTCGAGCATGGGTTAATTTGTGGCTTACATCTAATCAAATTTGTTTATCATTAGCAAACTAATGGCGTGGGTCAATCCGGAACGAGGGAGTTGAGTTCACAAGTTTTTGGCTGGCCCTCTCCGCCCCGCGCGCCTCACCGCCGGTATACTCCGGCCCCGGCGTCCACCTATAAACTCGACGCTGACCGCCCTGATCGCGCCGCCCACCAAAGCCATGGAGCGTGGCTCCTGCTCGCGCCAGTTGTGGGCCGATGAGGTTGAGGAGGAGGAGGCCGCTCGGAGTACCGGAAGATCCGCCTTTCAGGAGCTGCCTCCCCTCGCCGCTGCTGCTCACGCCGAGCGCCAGTTCGCTTGACCCTGAGGCGGAGCCGTTCGTAGCATCCCCTGGTGGATCTGGGGGGAGGCTCCATTTCTCTGACTCGGAGGCGTCGCTCGACGACTCTGACGCCGAGGCTCCTCAGTCGGGCCGCGGCAAGGCCGTGCTGCGTCCGCGGTGGCAGCGTCGTCGTCGCCGACGCGGCCCACGCGCGGGGAGGTTCATGGGCGATGCGCGGAGGGGCAACGGGGGTGGCCGGCAACTGCAGCCTCGCCATCTCACCTCCATTGTTGTCCACCCTCCCCGCATGTCCATGGCGCCGGACGCGGAGGGCTTCCGTCAGGTGCAGAGCAGGAGGCGCTGGCGTCGCGTCGCTTCTCCTCGACGGCCGGTGCCCTCGAACTTGGTCGGCTTGTGCTTCAATTGCCTCGCCGGTGACCACGTGCATGCCGACTGCACTTTCCCGGCCAAGTGCTACAACTGCAGGGATGTTGGGCATCAGGCGCGTGATTGCCCTCATCCTCCGGTCGCTGGTCGCTGGGAGGGCAAGCGTGGCCGTTCTCCGCCGCGCGCTTCGGGTTTCCGACTGGGCGCGCGCCGCCGTCGTTCGTCGCCTAGCCGCGGGGCTTCACCCGCGGACACGGTCTCCGCGCATTCGGCCTCCACCGGCCGGGAGCCGTCGGTGCCTCCGATGTGCCAGCCTCCCACCCCGGAACCCCAGGTTAACGATCCGCCGGCTGGCAACGCTGGGCAGCCCCTGCCCGCCGCGGGTCCGTCTGAGGTCGCCGGGGAGGCTGTCGCTGATGGGCCTCTGGATCAGCCACCCGCGCCGGAATTACCTCGGCTGATTCCGCGCGCACTGCTGAGGTGGGTTGAGGCCCCCCTGCGTCGCCGCGGACGCGCGCAAGGACTCCATTGCTTGGGCTAGTCGTCGTTCCCAGGACCCCGGCGCTGCAGGCCGCTGAAGATGCTCTGTCCATGGCCCTGCTCGCGCTCATGGTCGGCACCAGGCCTGTGGTCACTCCGACCATGGTTTTGGACCATCTCGAGGAGCACTTCGGGATCTCAGATCACCGAGTCTCCGTCCGCCGTACGAGGCCGGATGATTTCATCGTCCGTTTCAGTCGCCGCGAGGATCTCGAGCGTGTTCTGAGCGCTGCGCCCCCAGAGCGGGCACCATTCACCCTGCAATGGCGACGTTGGAGTAGCTTGATCATGGGTTTGGCCGGCGCGTTCAGATCAATTCGCGGGCCCGTCGTGACGTTGTACGCAAGTTCTTGGCACAGGAGCGCGTATCTGTCGTATGTCTCTGGAAGGAAAAGAACAAGAGGACTTCAGATGTTGTTGTTGGAGGTCGACATCGACGCTCGGACGCTGCACCAGGAAGCGGAGGAGTGGATCAAGGCTGGATTCTCCTGCCTTGCAGCGCTTTGCCCTTACTGGTTGTCGTAAAATTTAGTTCCAGTGTAATATCGGTGACCTTTGAATCCAATAGCTAGGTTCCCGGTCAGCTGCTTGCGATGGCCCCTCGCCACCGTCGGTGCTTGCCTTTGTTTTGTGTGTTTTAAGCTCTATTTCCTCTTAACGAAATACGGCTGGCGGGTCCGATCGTGAAAAAAAAAAACTGGAATGAGGTGGTCCGCTGCTTTTTGACTGGATGGACTCGTTCCTCAAATTGACATGTCACTAGTATTTTTATAAGAATCAACGTCTCAAATCAAACGGGGCCATCACCTTCTTCGTGGGATCGTATCAGCCATGTTTATCAGCCATGATATAATATTTTTCTCTCACAACAAAACAACATCAGTCGGCTTATAAGCCACACAAACGATCAAACCAACCGGGTGCATAGTGCATAGCCTTGACAGTATTTTAAAAAAAAACTCCAAAAATACTTTGCATTCAAACCGAGTCTTAGCTCCTTCGGCCACCGTAGCAGCAGAGAGTCAAAGCTAAATGAACCATTCCAAACGTATCCACTTCATCCCTCTAAAATAACTGCACTTCTTATTTTTCAATATTATAAAAATATTATCAATATTTATTTCTTCTAATATATTAATTATTAAAAAAAATATTTTACTGTTAATCTAATAGTACTTATCATGTATCATGAATAATGGCATTTTTTATTTATATATTCGGTCAGGCTTAAAAAGAATTTGACTGCTTAGAAATTAAGATGTGCGATTATTTTAGAACCAATGGAGCACATCACTGGTTCTCTCGTGACACGGAGGAAGGTTACCGGTTAGAGATGAGGAAGGCAAGACATGTGGACGGTCCTCCCGTCGTTGTCAAAGGAACGAACGTGGGTGCCAAGAAAGTCTGAAGCTTATCTCAAAAAAAAAATGAAACGTCTGAAGCTGCCACCAGAGTCCACCAAAAGCGACCGGGTGGGTCAGCCACTGAACTGAGACTTTTTTCTTTCAACTATGAAACTGCTGAAGCTTGGTTAACAAAATGGAAGGAATTAAAAACCCCTCAGATCTATGCTGAGGTCATTGCTTATGCCAGGCAATCAGTTATGGCACTCGATGGTTGCTGATGACTGAATATATATTATATTATATTCCTGATCTGCTCATGTGGCCATAAATCTAGGATTGTTTGGCCAGGATAGCAGCAACTGAGGAAGGACATCGACATGTCGTCTCCGCCGCCGCCGGTGAAGCTGATCGGCTTCTTCAGCAGCCCGTACTCGTTCCGCGCGGAGGCGGCGCTGTGCCTCAAGGGCGTGGCCTACGAACTCATCCTGGAGGACCTCTTCGGCACCAAGAGCGACCTGCTGCTCCACCACAACCCGGTCCACAAGAAGGTGCCCGTGCTCCTGCACGGCGACGGCCGCGCCATCTCCGAATCCCTCGTCATCGCCGAGTACGTCGACGAGGCCTTCGACGGGCCTCCGCTCCTCCCCGCCGACCCCTACGACCGCGCCACCGCCCGCTTCTGGGCCGACTTCATCGAGAACAAGCTCACCAAGCCTTTCTTCATGGCGATCTGGGTGGAGGATGGCGAGGCGCGGCTGCGGTTCGAGAAGGAGGCCAAGGAGCTCGTGGCGCTGCTGGAGGCTCAGCTCGAGGGCAAGAAGTTCTTCGGCGGCGACAGGCCCGGATACCTCGACGTGGCCGCCTCCGCGCTCGGCCCCTGGCGCAGCGTGATCGAGGAGCTCAACGGAGTGACGCTGCTGAGCGAGGACGAGCACCCCAACCTGTGCCGGTGGAGCAGGGACTACTGCGCCTGCGAGGATCTCAAGCCGTGCATGCGGGATCGGGAGAAGCTCCTCGCCTACTTCACCAAGAACTTCGACAGGTACAAGGCGGCCGTCAATGCGACGTTATCGCAGTCGCAGCAGTGAAAAGTGAGTAACTGGGTACATTACTACACGTCGTCTCTGCGCGTGTACGTGGGACACGTATAGCGCGCGGGCTTTTTTTTTCAGAATAACGTAGATGTGCCCATTGTTTTCAATTCTGAAAACCAACAAGTTTTTTTTTGAACGAAACAAACCAACAAGTTATTACTTTTTTGATTTACTGATGTACTGGAGTACTAGTGAAATTGTATGCAGAATTCTTGTTTCACCGATGAACAGAAATCTATGTACTAGACCTATTTTATCATTATATGTCAAAAAAAGATTATATTGAAGTCCCCACCAAGAAAAGTAGGGAATTGACGGCGTCTGGGCCTCTTGATGGGATATGATTCCATCGGACGGTACCGAACGGTCCAGCAGAAACGCGCCGTACTCCCACCATATCGTTGTAGTACTTCCCCGCCTGCCTTGTCCCTCCACGCACAAGTACCCTGCCCCTGTCCGTCTCGCCTTGCCCCGTGCACGCCGCTCCTCCCCCTGACCCCCTCCTCTCTCTCCGCGCAGGCGGGCCCCAGGAGCCGGGATGAGGACAAGCACGTCCCGTTTGCAGGACCCCAGGCGCGCTGCACGCCCCATCCGTCGGCCCGCACCCCTTCCCCTGGCACCCGGGCCGTGCCCCCATGACTCTCTGAACATACCTCTGAAACACGAAACACTTGCAACAAGAAACACTTGAACGCAACATACGTCTGAAGTAGATGAAACATTTAGAACATACACTTGCAACATATGTGTGAAACATATGTAACATGCAGATAAAACACTTGTAACTTGCAACATGAAAGCACTTATTGCAACATAATATTGAAATAGCTGAAAGATTTCGAGCATACTTTTGCAGCATATGTGTGAAACATATGCAACATCCAAATGAAAACACTTGTGACATACCTCTGAAACAATTGAAACATACACTTGTAACATGCTCTTTCAATGCAACCTCTCATTGCTGCTCGGCAAAATAGAGGCTCGTCAATATGTGGTGTTCACCAGAAGCAGCGGCTCGGTGGCGCTTGTAGGCGACGGGCCGACGGCAGTGGCTACACATCGCGGAAGGGAGGCATCGGCCGCACGAGCGGTGGGGAGGCCGTGGCCGCGTGACTTGGAGAGGGCAGCAGCACCGAGCCCCGCGACTCGGAGGCAGCCGCACGCCGTGCCTGATAAGGCCAGCAGCTGAGCGATGCGCCTCGGAGGCGGCCGAGTGGTGCTTATATAAATAAAATTTTTAAGTTGATAAGTTTTTTCCGAAACAAATTATATAATGCGCACGATAAGTTGGTTATAATTTTTTTTTAAACATGGAACAATGAAAACTTACACGTACAAGTTATGTTATTAGTAAAATTTATTATATAAAATTTGCGCTAGAAACATTATGTTAAGAAATTGTTATGATATATTTATCCTTGGATAATTATAAACAAAAGTTCGTTTTTAAAGGTTATATCGGTGAGCGAGATCTTCAACAAGTTTGGGTGGTGTTTTAAAAATTGGATTGAGTCCTAATTTTTATGTCTTTGCTTTGTATGGAGTCTTAACGATTCGTATTACCGTGTGGTGGAGCATGATGTCAGTGTCATGAATTTGTGCTAAACGGCTATACTCATTCATTCGTTAATGTTTGGAGACCGAATTACTCATATTACTTAATCTAAATATATCAAAAAGTTATCGAAAAACAGATTTGAGATTTAATTAAGGAACACAGCCGGGTACCTTTTTTATATTGAAGCAGTCAAACAAAGTTGGAACCAAACACATGTATCTGGATAGATGGAATTTGCTTGAGAGCATATCCCGGGCTTAACTGAGCCATCAACCATCATACGTGACAACAGTCCTGACCACTTGTTGCAATACTTTATACTATCGATCCCACTTACGCAGTCTTAAGAACATACCATGCAATCATCATAACAAATATGTAGGATGCATCGTGTTACACCAAATTAAAATCTTCATTACATAGCAATACATTCCTAAGTAAGGAAAGTTCTTGCAGAATACTCCTAGAATAGGGGTACCGGATACCCAACAGAAGCACGAAACCAAACCACATCAAACTTCATCACAAACCAGATTGAAAGGTCAGAATATGAAATTTCTTACTGGAATGACAGAAAGGTGTAAATAAGAAATTTCGAGGCCCGAACTGAAACTCTCTGAGTTACGTGTACGGGAGAAAATTGCTCACATATTTTCATGCTGAGGTCACTGCTTATGGCAGCATATGGTTCATATTCTCTAGCTCCCGGCCAGCTTGCTCTGTGACTGTATATAGTACTATTACATATCTGCCTGATCCGCTCGTGGGCTGGTTTCTCTAGCTTATAGGTAAACCAAATCTCTGTAGATTCTGTAGCTTGTAGGTTTGCATTCAACGATTCTGTGGGTTGAATCAGCTAAGCAACTTCTTCTAGATCTATTTGACGGTTGTCGAAAGGAAAGAACAGAAACGAGAAGACGTGGACCTTGGATTCTTCTTCTTTCTTCCACAAGAAGCAGTGCACCTGCCTATAATTTGACTATATATCGATGTGAGCCAAGGATTTCCTATAAATACAAATAGGAATGGTCTAGTATGTTTCTCCAAGCAGATACCAGCAAGCCACAACCAACTAGTAGCAGAAGATAGTAGATCTGACAGTGATAGGCTATCCACTATCACTGCTGGGTCGTAGCTTGAACCGTCCGTGATAGGCAAGTCATGGCAGAGAATCCTTTCCCCTGTTTTATGTTGAAAGCTTAACCTTCAAAGCTGAAACGAATTCTTCATATTCCCTGTTGTCAGATATTAGATATTTTGGACCAAAAGTTCATAGGCCAAACGAGTAAAGTCTCAAAATCTGAACTGAACGTTTCCCTGGCCGAAATTGGAAGTTCAGAACCTTAAATTTCTTACTGGAATGACGGTTGCCGTGACGACGCTACAAACTGAAACTGAAAGAAGTTTCCATGCAAAACTGAAACTTGTCCAGCTATGTTCGGAAGAAAAATGCCCACAAATGGATATGCTGAGGTCACTGCTTATACCAGGCATATGGTTCTCTATAGCTCCAGATCTTTGGTAAATAAAACCTCTCTGGCCTAAGCTGCATTAATCCTAGTGATCATGGAGACATGTACTAACGGGTACACTTCCACCCGAAGGCTTAATTGCATCCAACTGAAATTTGGCTTATGCTGATGCTTATGCTAAAATGTTGTGAAAGAAAAACAATGTTCGTTCGCTGAAAAATACTGTTGAAGTAGTGCAGCAGAACAGGGCCTGATTGTTTGTGGACTGAAGCAACCAAGCAACTTGTGGAATTTTTTAAGGATTAGACTATCAGATGGTTGGTAAAAGTGCCCCTTCTTGTAGAAGCAGCAGCCCACCTGCCTTTGACCATACTGATATGAGCCAAGCAATCTTGATTTTTCTCCTATAAATAGGAATTGTTCAGTAAGTTTCTCCAAGAAAACAGCAAGCAGCCTGAACCAGCTTAGCTAGCAGAAAGATGTCTCCGCCTGTTAAGGTCCTCGGCCATTTCGCCAGCCCATTCGCGCACCGTGTCGAGGTCGCTCTTCAGCTCAAGGGCGTGCCATACGAGCTGATCCAGGAGGACCTAAGCAACAAGAGTGAGCTGCTGCTCGCCAACAACCCTGTCCACAAGAAGGTGCCCGTTCTCTTCCATGGCGACCGGGCCATCTGTGAGTCTCTCGTCATCGTCGAGTACATCGACGAGGTCTTCGACGGGCCGTCTCTCCTCCCGTCCGACCCCTACGACCGTGCTATAGCCCGTTTCTGGTCAGACTTCGTGGACAAGGTATTCTCATTTCAAAAATTAGAAGGCCCCGGTTCTTCTGAAATCTGAACATCTGCTTGTTTTACTGAACTCTGGTGTGATGAAACAGCTCACCGTGCCGTTCTGGATGGCACACTGGGCAGAGGGCGAGGCGCAGAAGACTCTAGTGGAGGAGGTCAAGCAGAAGCTAGCGCTTCTGGAGGTGCAGCTCAAGGGGAAGAGGTGGTTTGGGGGCGACACCATCGGCTACGTCGACGTAGCCGCCTCTGTGTTGGGTCCATGGCTCAGCATGGTAGAGGAGGTGACCGGAGTGGTTGTGCTTGACGAAGAGGAGTACCCTGCTTTACGCCGTTGGTCTAAGGAGTACAATTCCTACGAAGCTCTGAAGCAGTGCGTCCCGGACAGAGGCCAGCTCGCCGCCTTCTATACCGAACGGAAGGAGAAGTACAAAATGATTGCTAAAGCATGGTTGAAGCAGTAAGCCAGTAACATGTCTTTGTGTGTGGAATAATGTATGGATGACAAATGGCCGGCCTGTGTTCAGATGGAATTATAGTACTGTACTGTAGTTACTAGGAGTACTTTTACTAAGTGTATTTGCATTTGTTCTCTGTGGGCTACCTGCTAATTTCCAGCCCATTCCAATGGTCAACTCATATAAATAAACCCAGTTCAAAACCTTCCGATTTCAATATATGTAAAACATCCACACACAAGTTTTTTGAATGGCTTCATTCCAAAAAATTTCTCCGATTTCAAATTGCTCGTCTCAATTTTGAATAATTGTTCTATCAATCAGCGCTCGAGCATGGGTTAATTTGTGGCTTACATCTAATCAAATTTGTTTATCATTAGCAAACTAATGGCGTGGGTCAATCCGGAACGAGGGAGTTGAGTTCACAAGTTTTTGGCTGGCCCTCTCCGCCCCGCGCGCCTCACCGCCGGTGGCCACTCCGGCCCCGGCGTCCACCTATAAACTCGACGCTGACCGCCCTGATCGCGCCGCCCACCAAAGCCATGGAGCGTGGCTCCTGCTCGCGCCAGTTGTGGGCCGATGAGGTTGAGGAGGAGGAGGCCGCTCGGAGTACCGGAAGATCCGCCTTTCAGGAGCTGCCTCCCCTCGCCGCTGCTGCTCACGCCGAGCGCCAGTTCGCTTGACCCTGAGGCGGAGCCGTTCGTAGCATCCCCTGGTGGATCTGGGGGGAGGCTCCATTTCTCTGACTCGGAGGCGTCGCTCGACGACTCTGACGCCGAGGCTCCTCAGTCGGGCCGCGGCAAGGCCGTGCTGCGTCCGCGGTAGCAGCGTAGTCGTCGCCGACGCGGCCCACGCGCGGGGAGGTTCATGGGCGATGCGCGGAGGGGCAACGGGGGTGGCCGGCAACTGCAGCCTCGCCATCTCACCTCCATTGTTGTCCACCCTCCCCGCATGTCCATGGCGCCGGACGCGGAGGGCTTCCGTCAGGTGCAGAGCAGGAGGCGCTGGCGTCGCGTCGCTTCTCCTCGACGGCCGGTGCCCTCGAACTTGGTCGGCTTGTGCTTCAATTGCCTCGCCGGTGACCACGTGCATGCCGACTGCACTTTCCCGGCCAAGTGCTACAACTTCAGGGATGTTGGGCATCAGGCGCGTGCTTGCCCTCATCCTCCGGTCGCTGGTCGCTGGGAGGGCAAGCGTGGCCGTTCTCCGCCGCGCGCTTCGGGTTTCCGATGGGGCGCGCGCCGCCGTCGTTCGTCGCCTAGCCGCGGGGCTTCACCCGTGGACACGGTCTCCGCGCATTTGGCCTCCACCGGCCGGGAGCCGTCGGTGCCTCCGGTGTGCCAGCCTCCCACCCCGGAACCCCAGGTTAACGATCCGCCGGCTGGCAACGCTGGGCAGCCGCTGCCCGCCGCGGGTCCGTCTGAGGTCGCCGGGGACGCTGTCGCTGATGGGCCTCTGGATCAGCCACCCGCGCCGGAATTACCTCGGCTGATTCCGCGCGCACTGCTGAGGTGGGTTGAGGCCCCCCTGCGTCGCCGCGGACGCGCGCAAGGACTCCATTGCTTGGGCTAGTCGTCGTTCCCAGGACCCCGGCGCTGCAGGCCGCTGAAGATGCTCTGTCCATGGCCCTGCTCGCGCTCCTGGTCGGCACCTGGCCTGTGGTCACTCCGACCATGGTTTTGGACCATCTCGAGGAGCACTTCGGGATCCCAGATGACCGAGTCTCCGTCCGCCGTACGAGGCCGAATGATTTCATCGTCCGTTTCAGTCGCCGCGAGGATCTCGAGCGTGTTCTGAGCGCTGCGCCCCCAGAGCGGGCACCATTCACCCTGCAATGGCGACGTTGGAGTCGCTTGATCATGGGTTTGGCCGGCGCGTTCAGATTCAGAGTGCTTGTCGCCATGAAGGGCATACCTTCCCACGCGAGGTCGAAGGAGACCGCGCAAGCCATTCTCGGCTCCTCATGCACCAACGTCGAATTCGCCAACCCGGAAGCGCTCGCCGATCCTGACGATGAGAGCGAGTTATTCGTCGCGGCGTGGTGCGCGCACCCTGATCTCATTCCTGACGAGATGATCATGGCTGTGCCGGAGCCGGAGGAGCATGATGGGGGTCCGCCATTGTTCCTGAGGCCTCATGAGATCATCCACGATGAGGTGCCGGCCCTCCGTTATCTGGCCCTCCGTTATCCACGATGAGATCATCCAAGACTGGCACACGCCGCCGCCGTCGTCGGACGATGGCATGGACTTCGGCGGCGACGATAGTGATAGCGGAGACAGTAACTTCAACGGCTACCACCCGGGTTTCGGCGCCAGCGGCGGCGGCGGTGCCCGGCCACGGACTTCTCGGTTCGGCAGCTCCGACGAGCCGCGGCTTGGGTGGGGTTCTGGACCCGTGTTTTGGCCACGGGAATTGAGGAGCGTCATCGTCGTGGGCGATGTGACCTGCCCAATCCTGGCGCCGCGCAGCGCCATACCCTGCCCTGGCGTCAGCGCGCTTCACGCCAGGGCCGCGACGCGTGTCGAGGAGCCGGTGGGCGAGACAGTTGACTTCTCTCTCACACGCTCCTGTCAAGCTGCACGCGTCGGAACCGATGCTCTCCGAGGCTGTGGATATCTGCCTGTCCGGCCCAGAAGACTGTGGCTCCGGACCGACCTCTCGTATGCTTGCCCAACTTTTAATTGGGGAGGCTGGGCCTTCTCAATCGTCGCCTCCATCCCACTCCGAGCCCAGGGACGTTGATGATCCGGGGTTCCTGGACGTCGTTGGCCATGATCTAACGGAGGGGGCGTCTGTCCAGACCTCGGCGGCGACTACAACTGACGAGTTCATCTCCATCTTCAAGAAGCCATTGTCGCAGCTGGTTCTCCCGTCGACCCCAAGGGCGCGGGTCACCAGATCGGAAAGGGCACTGGAGACGGGTGATGAGGAGCTTGTCCCCAAACGGAGTGCGAGACTGGCGGCCAAGAGCAAGAACAGGGTGCCAAGACCTAAGGCACAGGTAAGGAAAGTAACGATGAAACGTTTAGGTGTCGAGGTGGAGACGGAGCTTCCAGATGAGGCGTCCTTCGATGAATTCCAGACAGCCTTCAAGTTGCCTCTCTCGCCCTCCACTTGGGAGACAATGCAGGTCTTGTTCCCTGGTAGTAAGCAGCGGACGCCTAAGCCTGTTCGCGCCGCCTAGACCATCTGCCTAAGTCGCAAACGCCGTCCACCCATGTTAGGACACAATGTTTTTATTTGGAATGTCCGTGGACTCAATTCACGGGCCCGTCGTGACGTTGTACGCAAGTTCTTGGCACAGGAGCGCGTATCTGTCGTGTGTCTCTGGAAGGAAAAGAACAAGAGGACTTCAGATGTTGTTGTTGGAGGTCGACATCGACGCTCGGACGCTGCACCAGGAAGCGGAGGAGTGGATCAAGGCTGGATTGTCCTGCCTTGCAGCGCTTTGTCGTAAAATTTAGTTCCAGTGTAATATCGGTGACCTTTGAATCCAGTAGCTAGGTTCCCGGTCAGCTGCTTACGATGGCCCCTCGCCACCGTCGGTGCTTGCCTTTGTTCTGTGTGTTTTAAACTCTATTTCCTTTTAATGAAATACGGGCTTGTGGGTCCGATCGTGAAAAAAAAATCCGAAATGAGGTGGTCCGCTGCTTTTTGACTGGATGGACTCGTTCCTCAAATTGACATGTCACTAGTATTTTTATAAGAACCAACGTCTCAAATCAAACGGGGCCATAGCCTTGACGGTATTTTTATAAAAACTCCAAAAATACTTTGCATTCAAACCGAGTCTTAGCTCCTTCGGCCACCGTAGCAGGAGAGTCAAAGCTAAATGAACCATTCCAAACGTATCCACTTCATCCCTCTAAAATAACTGCACATCTTATTTTTCAATATTATAAAAATATTATCAATATTTATTTCTTCTAATATATTAATTATTAAAAAAAATATTTTACTGTTAATCTAATAGTACTTATCATGTATCATGAATAATGGCATTTTTATTTATATATTCGGTCAGGCTTAAAAAGAATTTGACTGCTTAGAAATTAAGATGTGCGGTTATTTTAGAACCAATGGAGCACATCACTGGTTCTCTCGTGACACGGAGGAACGTTACCGGTTAGAGATGAGGAAGGCAAGACATGTGGACGGTCCTCCCGTCCTTGTCAAAGGAACGAACGTGGGTGCCAAGAAAGTCTGAAGCTTATCTCAAAAAAAAAAGAAACGTCTGAAGCTGCCACCAGAGTCCACCAAAAGCGACCGGGTGGGTCAGCCTCAGCCACTGAACTGAGTCTTTTTTCTTTCAACTATGAAACTGCTGACGCTTGGTTAACAAAATGGAAGGAATTAAAAACCCCTCAGATCTATGCTGAGGTCATTGCTTATGCCAGGCAATCAGTTATGGCACTCGATGGTTGCTGATGACTGAATATATATTATATTATCTTCCTGATCTGCTCATGTGGCCATAAATCTAGGATTGTTTGCCAGGATAGCAGCAACTGAGGAAGAACATCGACATGTCGTCTCCGCCGCCGCCGGTGAAGCTGATCGGCTTCTTCGGCAGCCCGTACGCGTTCCGCGCGGAGGCGGCGCTGTGCCTCAAGGGCGTGGCCTACGAACTCATCCTGGAGGACCTCTTCGGCACCAAGAGCGACCTGCTGCTCCACCACAACCCGGTCCACAAGAAGGTTCCCGTGCTCCTGCACGGCGACGGCCGCGCCATCTCCGAATCCCTCGTCATCGCCGAGTACGTCGACGAGGCCTTTGACGGGCCTCCGCTCCTCCCCGCCGACCCCTACGACCGCGCCACCGCCCGCTTCTGGGCCGACTTCATCGAGAACAAGCTCACCAAGCCTTTCTTCATGGCGATCTGGGTGGAGGACGGCGAGGCGCGGCTGCGGTTCGAGAAGGAGGCCAAGGAGCTCGTGGCGCGGCTGGAGGCGCAGCTCGAGGGCAAGAAGTTCTTCGGCGGCGACAGGCCCGGATACCTCGACGTGGCCGCCTCCGCGCTCGGCCCCTGGCGCAGCGTGATCGAGGAGCTCAACGGAGTGACGCTGCTGAGCGAGGACGAGCACCCCAACCTGTGCCGGTGGAGCAGGGACTACTGCGCCTGCGAGGATCTCAAGCCGTGCATGCGGGATCGGGAGAAGCTCCTCGCCTACTTCACCAAGAACTTCGACAGGTACAAGGCGGCCGTCAATGCGACGTTATCGCAGTCGCAGCAGTGAAAAGTGAGTAACTGGGTACATTACTACACGTCGTCTCTGCGCGTGTACGTGGGACACGTATAGCGCGCGGGCTTTTTTTTTCAGAATAACGTAGATGTGCCCATTGTTTTCAATTCTGAAAACCAACAAGTTTTTTTTTGAACGAAACAAACCAACAAGTTATTACTTTTTTGATTTACTGATGTACTGGAGTACTAGTGAAATCGTATGCAGAATTCTTGTTTCACCGATGAACAGAAATCTATGTACTAGACCTATTTTATCATTATATGTCAAAAAAAGATTATATTGAAGTCCCCACCAAGAAAAGTAGGGAATTGACGGCGTCTGGGCCTCTGATGGGATAGGATTCCATCGGACGGTACCGAACGGTCCAGCAGAAACGCGCCGCACTCCCACCATATCGTTGTAGTACTTCCCCGCCTGCCTCGTCCCTCCACGCACAAGCACCCTGCCCCTGTCCGTCTCGCCCTGCCCCGTGCACGCCGCTCCTCCCCCTGACCCCCTCCTCTCTCTCCGCGTAGGCGGGCCCCAGGAGCCGGGATGAGGACAAGCACGTCCTGTTTGCAGGACCCCAGGCGCGCTGCACGCCCCATCCGCCGGCCCGCACCCCTTCCCCTGGCACCCGGGCCGTGCCCCCATGACTCTCTGAATATACCTCTGAAACACGAAACACTTGCAACAAGAAACACTTGAACGCAACATACGTCTGAAGTAGATGAAACATTTAGAACATACACTTGCAACATATGTGTGAAACATATGTAACATCCAGATAAAACACTTGTAACTTGCAACATGAAAGCACTTATTGCAACATAATATTGAAATAGCTGAAAGATTTCGAGCATACTTTTGCAGCATGTGTGAAACATATGCAACATCCAAATAAAAACACTTGTGACATACCTTTGAAACAATTGAAACATACACTTGTAACATGCTCTTTCAATGCAACCTCTCCTTGCTGCTCGGCAAAATAGAAGCTCGTCAATATGTGGTGTTCACCAAAAGCAGCGGCTCGGTGGCGCTTGTAGGCGACGGGCCGACGGCAGTGGCTACACATCGCGGAAGGGAGGCATCGGCCGCACGAGCGGTGGGGAGGCCGTGGCCACGTGACTTGGAGAGGGCAGCAGCACCGAGCCCCGCGACTCGGAGGCAGCCGCACGCCGTGCCTGATAAGGCCAGCAGCTGAGCGATGCGCCTCGGAGGCGGCCGAGTGGTGCTTATATAAATAAAATTTTTAAGTTGATAAGTTTTTTCCGAAACAAATTATTTAATGCGCAGGATAAGTTGGTTATAATTTTTTTTTAAACATGGAACAATGAAAACTTATGCGTACAAGTTATGTTATTAGTAAAATTTATTATATAAAATTTGCGCTAGAAACATTATGTTAAGAAATTGTTATGATATATTTATCCTTGGATAATTATAAACAAAAGTTCGTTTTTAAAGGTTATATCGGTGAGCGAGATCTTCAACAAGTTTGGGTGGTGTTTTAAAAATTGGATTGAGTCCTAATTTTTATGTCTTTGCTTTGTATGGAGTCTTAACGATTCGTATTACCGTGTGGTGGAGCATGATGTCAGTGTCATGAATTTGTGCTAAACGGCTATACTCATTCATTCGTTAATGTTTGGAGACCGAATTACTCATATTACTTAATCTAAAAATATCAAAAAGTTATCGAAAAACAGATTTGAGATTTAATTAAGGAACACAGCCGGGTACCTTTTTTATATTGAAGCAGTCAAACAAAGTTGGAACCAAACACATGTATCTGGATAGATGGAATTTGCTTGAGAGCATATCCCGGGCTTAACTGAGCCATCAACCATCATACGTGACAACAGTCCTGACCACTTGTTGCAATACTTTATACTATCGATCCCACTTACGCAGTCTTAAGAACATACCATGCAATCATCATAACAAATATGTAGGATGCATCGTGTTACACCAAATTAAAATCTTCAGTACATAGCAATACATTCCTAAGTAAGGAAAGTTCTTGCAGAATACTCCTAGAATAGGGGTACCGGATACCCAACAGAAGCACGAAACCAAACCACATCAAACTTCATCACAAACCAGATTGAAAGGTCAGAATATGAAATTTCTTACTGGAATGACAGAAAGGTGTAAATAAGAAATTTCGAGGCCCGAACTGAAACTCTCTAAGTTACGTGTACGGGAGAAAATTGCTCACATATTTTCATGCTGAGGTCACTGCTTATGGCAGCATATGGTTCATATTCTCTAGCTCCCGGCCAGCTTGCTCTGTGACTGTATATAGTACTATTACATATCTGCCTGATCCGCTCGTGGGCTGGTTTCTCTAGCTTATAGGTAAACCAAATCTCTGTAGATTCTGTAGCTTGTAGGTTTGCATTCAACGATTCTGTGGGTTGAATCAGCTAAGCAACTTCTTCTAGATCTATTTGACGGTTGTCGAAAGGAAAGAACAGAAACGAGAAGACGTGGACCTTGGATTCTTCTTCTTTCTTCCACAAGAAGCAGTGCACCTGCCTTTAATTTGACTATATATCGATGTGAGCCAAGGATTTCCTATAAATACAAATAGGAATGGTCTAGTATGTTTCTCCAAGCAGATACCAGCAAGCCACAACCAACTAGTAGCAGAAGAAACATGTCTCCGCCTATTAAGATCATCGGCCATCCGGTAAGCCCATTCTCGCACCGCGTCGAGGCCGCTCTGCGGCTCAAGGGCGTGCCATACGAGCTGATCGAGGAAGACCTGAGCAACAAGAGCGAGCTGCTGCTCGCCAAAAACCCTGTCCACAAGAAGGTACCCGTGCTCCTCCATGGAGACCGAGCCATCTGTGAGTCTCTCGTCATCGTTCAGTACGTCGACGAGGCCTTCGACGGGCCGCCTCTCCTGCCGGCCGACCCCAACGACCGTGCCATGGCCCGTTTTTGGGCAGACTTCATGGACAGCAAGGTACTCTCAGTTTTATTGAGAAACAAGAAGCATGTTCTTGTAGTGAAATCTTTATTTTAACGAATACGCACGAGACTGTGCCCTTTCTATTCACAAAGCAGGAGTAGTGAAATCTGAAAATAAATCTGCTGGTTTTACTGAACTCTGCTGATGAACCTGAACAGCTTCTCAAGCCGTTCTGGCTGGCACACTGGATAGAGGGCGAGGCGCAGAAGGCTCAGGTGGAAGAGGCCAAGCAGAACCTGGCGCTTCTGGAGGAGCAGCTCAAAGGGAGGAGGTTCTTTGGAGGCGACACCATCGGCTACGTCGACATAGCCGCCTGTTTGTTAGCTCCTTGGCTCAGCGTGATAGAGGAGGTGACTGGAGTGACTGTGGTTGACGAAAACGAGTACCCTGCTCTACGCCGGTGGTCCAGAGAGTACAATTCCTACGAAGCTCTGAAGCAGTGCGTCCCGGACAGAGACCAGCTCGTCGCCTTCTATAATGAAAGGAAGGAGGGGTACAAAATGTTTGCTAGTGCATGGTTGCAACAGTAGTTGGGTTCTACAAGTAGAACAGGTCTTTATGTGTGGAATAATAATGTATGGATCACAAAGGGCCTGTGCCGGAATAACATTAATGAGAGCCTAGCTAGATAAGTAGATAACCATGTGCATGTCTCAGGCAGATGGATTATCTGGGAGTTTAGATGAGTTGACCATCGAAACCCCAATTCAAAAAGCATTTTGGTAACCTAAAGCAGTGATAGGCCTGAAGTTTTGTCAAAGCGCACCACACAAAAAATTTCATATGAAAGTCAGTAAAATCCAATGTAGAAATTCAGTAAGCAACGGTAAAATTTGCTCTGCAATTTGGTATTTTACAGTAACTACAAACTAAGGTAAGTTTGTGCTCTATATGTAGTGCAACATAGCATTAATTTTGTTGAAACTAGTTCTATATTTCCGAGAACATATTTCAAATTCTGTTAAAATTATAAGTATAACATACTGCAATACTCTCTTTGAGTTTTGCCCATTAAAGTTGTCACTTCTTTTTTTTTTGAACAAACACTATGCCAGAAAAGATAATAATTGTCGAACTATCACAGCTGATTGTTTTGGAACTGACAGTGATAGGGTATCACCGCCGGTTCGTACCTTCAACCAGCAGTGATAGTAGATCTGACAGTGATAGGCTATCCACTATCACTGCCGGGTCGTAGCTTGAACCGTCCGTGATAGGCAAGTCATGGCAGAGAATCCTTTCCCCTGTTTTAAGTTGAAAGCTTAACCTTCAAAGCTGAAACGAATTCTTCATATTCCCTGTTGTCAGATATTAAATATTTTGGACCAAAAGTTCATAGGCCAAACGAGTAAAGTCTCAAAATCTGAACTGAACGTTTCCCTGGCCGAAATTGGAAGTTCAGAACCTTAAATTTCTTACTGGAATGACGGTTGCTGTGACGACGCTACAAACTGAAACCGAAAGAAGTTTCCATGCAAAACTGAAACTTGTCCAGCTATGTTCGGAAGAAAAATGCCCACAAATGGATATGCTGAGGTCACTGCTTACACCAGGCATACGGTTCTCTATAGCTCCAGATCTTTGGTAAATAAAACCTCTCTGGCCTAAGCTGCATTAATCCTAGTGATCATGGAGACATGTACTAACGGGTCCACTTCCACCTGAAGGCTTAATTGCATCCAGCTAAAATTTGACTTATGCTGATGCTTATGCTAAAATGTTGTGAAAAAAAATAATATTCGTTCGTTGAAAAATACTGCTGAAGTAGTGCAGCAGAACATGGCCGAGGTGTTCTGTGGACTGAAGCAACGAAGCAACTTGTGGAATTTTTTAAGCATTAGACTATCAGATGGTTGGTAAAAGTGCTCCTTATTGTAGAAGCAGCAGCCCACCTCCTTATTGCAGAATACTCCTAGAATAGGGGTACCGGGTACCCAACAGAAGCACGAAACCAAACCACATCAAACTTCATCACAAACCAGATTGAAAGGTCAGAATATGAAATTTCTTACTGGAATGACAGAAAGGTGTAAATACGAAATTTCGAGGCCCGAACTGAAACTCTCTGAGTTACGTGTACGGGAGAAAATTGCTCACATATTTTCATGCTGAGGTCACTGCTTATGGCAGCATATGGTTCATATTCTCTAGCTCCCGGCCAGCTTGCTCTGTGACTGTATATAGTACTATTACATATCTGCCTGATCCGCTCGTGGGCTGGTTTCTCTAGCTTATAGGTAAACCAAATCTCTGTAGATTCTGTAGCTTGTAGGTTTGCATTCAACGATTCTGTGGGTTGAATCAGCTAAGCAACTTCTTCTAGATCTATTTGACGGTTGTCGAAAGGAAAGAACAGAAACGAGAAGACGTGGACCTTGGATTCTTCTTCTTTCTTCCACAAGAAGCAGTGCACCTGCCTTTAATTTGACTATATATCGATGTGAGCCAAGGATTTCCTATAAATACAAATAGGAATGGTCTAGTATGTTTCTCCAAGCAGATACCAGCAAGCCACAACCAACTAGTAGCAGAAGAAACATGTCTCCGCCTATTAAGATCATCGGCCATCCGGTAAGCCCATTCTCGCACCGCGTCGAGGCCGCTCTGCGGCTCAAGGGCGTGCCATACGAGCTGATCGAGGAAGACCTGAGCAACAAGAGCGAGCTGCTGCTCGCCAAAAACCCTGTCCACAAGAAGGTACCCGTGCTCCTCCATGGAGACCGAGCCATCTGTGAGTCTCTCGTCATCGTTCAGTACGTCGACGAGGCCTTCGACGGGCCGCCTCTCCTGCCGGCCGACCCCAACGACCGTGCCATGGCCCGTTTTTGGGCAGACTTCATGGACAGCAAGGTACTCTCAGTTTTATTGAGAAACAAGAAGCATGTTCTTGTAGTGAAATCTTTATTTTAACGAATACGCACGAGACTGTGCCCTTTCTATTCACAAAGCAGGAGTAGTGAAATCTGAAAATAAATCTGCTGGTTTTACTGAACTCTGCTGATGAACCTGAACAGCTTCTCAAGCCGTTCTGGCTGGCACACTGGATAGAGGGCGAGGCGCAGAAGGCTCAGGTGGAAGAGGCCAAGCAGAACCTGGCGCTTCTGGAGGAGCAGCTCAAAGGGAGGAGGTTCTTTGGAGGCGACACCATCGGCTACGTCGACATAGCCGCCTGTTTGTTAGCTCCTTGGCTCAGCGTGATAGAGGAGGTGACTGGAGTGACTGTGGTTGACGAAAACGAGTACCAGGCATACGGTTCTCTATAGCTCCAGATCTTTGGTAAATAAAACCTCTCTGGCCTAAGCTGCATTAATCCTAGTGATCATGGAGACATGTGCTAACGGGTCCACTTCCACCTGAAGGCTTAATTGCATCCAGCTGAAATTTGGCTTATGCTGATGCTTATGCTAAAATGATGTGAAAAAAAACAATATTCGTTCGTTGAAAAATACTGCTGAAGTAGTGCAGCAGAACATGGCCGAGGTGTTCTGTGGACTGAAGCAACGAAGCAACTTGTGGAATTTTTTAAGCATTAGACTATCAGATGGTTGGTAAAAGTGCTCCTTATTGTAGAAGCAGCAGCCCACCTGCCTTTGACCATACTGATATGAGCCAAGCAATCTTGATTTTTCTCCTATAAATAGGAATGGTTCAGTAAGTTTCTCCAAGAAAACAGCAAGCAGCCTGAACCAGCTTAGCTAGCAGAAAGATGTCTCCGCCTGTTAAGGTCCTCGTCCATTTCGCCAGCCCATTCGCGCACCGTGTCGAGGTCGCTCTTCAGCTCAAGGGCGTGCCATACGAGCTGACCCAGGAGGACCTAAGCAACAAGAGTGAGCTGCTGCTCGCCAACAACCCTGTCCACAAGAAGGTGCCCGTTCTCTTCCATGGCGACCGGGCCATCTGTGAGTCTCTCGTCATCGTCGAGTACATCGACGAGGTCTTCGACGGGCCGTCTCTCCTCCCGTCCGACCCCTACGACCGTGCTATAGCCCGTTTCTGGACAGACTTCGTGGACAAGGTATTCTCATTTCAAAAATTAGAAGGCCCCGGTTCTTCTGAAATCTGAACATCTGCTTGTTTTACTGAACTCTGGTGTGATGAAACAGCTCACCGTGCCGTTCTGGATGGCACACTGGGCAGAGGGCGAGGCGCAGAAGACTCTAGTGGAGGAGGTCAAGCAGAAGCTAGCGCTTCTGGAGGTGCAGCTCAAGGGGAAGAGGTGGTTTGGGGGCGACACCATCGGCTACGTCGACGTAGCCGCCTCTGTGTTGGGTCCATGGCTCAGCATGGTAGAGGAGGTGACCGGAGTGGTTGTGCTTGACGAAGAGGAGTACCCTGCTTTACGCCGTTGGTCTAAGGAGTACAATTCCTACGAAGCTCTGAAGCAGTGCGTCCCGGACAGAGGCCAGCTCGCCGCCTTCTATACCGAACGGAAGGAGAAGTGCAAAATGATTGCTAAAGCATGGTTGAAGCAGTAAGCCAGTAACATGTCTTTGTGTGTGGAATAATGTATGGATGACAAATGGCCGGCCTGTGTTCAGATGGAATTACAGTACTGTACTGTAGTTACTAGGAGTACTTTTACTAAGTGTATTTGCTGTTGTTCTCTGTGGGCTACCTGCTAATTTCCAATGGTCAACTCATATAAATAAACCCAGTTCAAAACCTTCCGATTTCAATATATGTAAAACATCCACACACAAGTTTTTTGAATGGCTTCATTCCAAAAAATTTCTCCAATTTCAAATTGCTCGTCTCAATTTTGAATAATTGTTCTATCAATCAGCGCTCGAGCATGGGCTAAATTTGTGGCTTACATCTAATCAAATTTGTTTATCATTAGCAAACTAATGGCGTGGGTCAATCCGGAACGAGGGAGTTGAGTTCACAAGTTTTTGGCTGGCCCTCTCCGCCCCGCGCGCCTCACCGCCGGTGGCCACTCCGGCCCCGGCGTCCACCTAGAAACTCGACGCTGACCGCCCTGATCGCGCCGCCCACCAAAGCCATGGAGCGTGGCTCCTGCTCGCGCCAGTTGTGGGCCGACGAGGTTGAGGAGGAGGAGGCCGCTCGGAGTACCGGAAGATCCGCCTTTCAGGAGCTGCCTCCCCTCGCCGCTGCTGCTCACGCCGAGCGCCACTTCGCTTGACCCTGAGGCGGAGCCGTTCGTAGCATCCCCTGGTGGATCTGGGGGGAGGCTCCATTTCTCTGACTCGGAGGCGTCGCTCGACGACTCTGACGCCGAGGCTCCTCAGTCGGGCCGCGGCAAGGCCGTGCTGCGTCCGCGGTAGCAGCGTCGTCGTCGCCGACGCGGCCCACGCGCGGGGAGGTTCATGGGCGATGCGCGGAGGGGCAACGGGGGTGGCCGGCAACTGCAGCCTCGCCATCTCACCTCCATTGTTGTCCACCCTCCCCGCATGTCCATGGCGCCGGACGCGGAGGGCTTCCGTCAGGTGCAGAGCAGGAGGCGCTGGCGTCGCGTCGCTTCTCCTCGACGGCCGGTGCCCTCGAACTTGGTCGGCTTGTGCTTCAATTGCCTCGCCGGTGACCACGTGCATGCCGACTGCACTTTCCCGGCCAAGTGCTACAACTGCAGGGATGTTGGGCATCAGGCGCGTGATTGCCCTCATCCTCCGGTCGCTGGTCGCTGGGAGGGCAAGCGTGGCCGTTCTCCGCCGCGCGCTTCGGGTTTCCGACTGGGCGCGCGCCGCCGTCGTTCGTCGCCTAGCCGCGGGGCTTCACCCGCGGACACGGTCTCCGCGCATTCGGCCTCCACCGGCCGGGAGCCGTCGGTGCCTCCGGTGTGCCAGCCTCCCACCCCGGAACCCCAGGTTAACGATCCGCCGGCTGGCAACGCTGGGCAGCCCCTGCCCGCCGCGGGTCCGTCTGAGGTCGCCGGGGAGGCTGTCGCTGATGGGCCTCTGGATCAGCCACCCGCGCCGGAATTACCTCGGCTGATTCCGCGCGCACTGCTGAGGTGGGTTGAGGGCCCCCCTGCGTCGCCGCGGACGCGCGCAAGGACTCCATTGCTTGGGCTAGTCGTCGTTCCCAGGACCCCGGCGCTGCAGGCCGCTGAAGATGCTCTGTCCATGGCCCTGCTCGCGCTCATGGTCGGCACCAGGCCTGTGGTCAGTCCGACCATGGTTTTGGACCATCTCGAGGAGCACTTCGGGATCTCAAATGACCGAGTCTCCGTCCGCCGTACGAGGCCGGATGATTTCATCGTCCGTTTCAGTCGCCGCGAGGATCTCGAGCTTGTTCTGAGCGCTGCGCCCCCAGAGCGGGCACCATTCACCCTGCAATGGCGACGTTGGAGTCGCTTGATCATGGATTTGGCCGGCGCGTTCAGATTCAGAGTGCTTGTCGCCATGAAGGGCATACCTTCCCACGCGAGGTCGAAGGAGACCGCGCTAGCCATTCTCGGCTCCTCATGCACCAACGTCGAATTCGCCAACCCGGAAGCGCTCGCCGATCCTGACGATGAGCGCGAGTTATTCGTCGCGGCGTGGTGCGCGCACCCTGATCTCATTCCTGACGAGATGATCATGGCTGTGCCGGAGCCGGAGGAGCATGATGGGGGTCCGCCATTGTTCCTGAGGCCTCATGAGATCATCCACGATGAGGTGCCGGCCCTCCGTTATCTGGCCCTCCGTTATCCACGATGAGATCATCCAAGACTGGCACACGCCGCCGCCGTCGTCGGACGATGGCATGGACTTCGGCGGCGACGATAGTGATAGCGGAGACAGTAACTTCAACGGCTACCACCCGGGTTTCGGCGCCAGCGGCGGCGGCGGTGCCCGGCCACGGACTTCTCGGTTCGGCAGCTCCGACGAGCCGCGGCTTGGGTGGGGTTCTGGACCCGTGTTTTGGCCACGGGGTTGAGGAGCGTCATCGTCGTGGGCGATGTGACCTGCCCAATCCTGGCGCCGCGCAGCGCCATACCCTGCCCTGGCGTCAGCGCGCTTCACGCCAGGGCCGCGACGCGTGTCGAGGAGCCGGTGGGCGAGACAGTTGACTTCTCTCTCACACGCTCCTGTCAAGCTGCACGCGTCGGAACCGATGCTCTCCGAGGCTGTGGATATCTGCCTGTCCGGCCCAGAAGACTGTGGCTCCGGACCGACCTCTCGTATGCTTGCCCAACTTTTAATTGGGGAGGCTGGGCCTTCTCAATCGTCGCCTCCATCCCACTCCGAGCCCAGGGACGTTGATGATCCGGGGTTCCTGGACGTCGTTGGCCATGATCTAACGGAGGGGGCGTCTGTCCAGACCTCGGCGGCGACTACAACTGACGAGTTCATCTCCATCTTCAAGAAGCCATTGTCGCAGCTGGTTCTCCCGTCGACCCCAAGGGCGCGGGTCACCAGATCGGAAAGGGCACTGGAGACGGGTGATGAGGAGCTTGTCCCCAAACGGAGTGCGAGACTGGCGGCCAAGAGCAAGAACAGGGTGCCAAGACCTAAGGCACAGGTAAGGAAAGTAACGATGAAACGTTTAGGTGTCGAGGTGGAGACGGAGCTTCCAGATGAGGCGTCCTTCGATGAATTCCAGACAGCCTTCAAGTTGCCTCTCTCGCCCTCCACTTGGGAGACAATGCAGGTCTTGTTCCCTGGTAGTAAGCAGCGGACGCCTAAGCCTGTTCGCGCCGCCTAGACCATCTGCCTAAGTCGCAAACGCCGTCCACCCATGTTAGGACACAATGTTTTTATTTGGAATGTCCGTGGACTCAATTCACGGGCCCGTCGTGACGTTGTACGCAAGTTCTTGGCACAGGAGCGCGTATCTGTCGTGTGTCTCTGGAAGGAAAAGAACAAGAGGACTTCAGATGTTGTTGTTGGAGGTCGACATCGACGCTCGGACGCTGCACCAGGAAGCGGAGGAGTGGATCAAGGCTGGATTGTCCTGCCTTGCAGCGCTTTGTCGTAAAATTTAGTTCCAGTGTAATATCGGTGACCTTTGAATCCAGTAGCTAGGTTCCCGGTCAGCTGCTTACGATGGCCCCTCGCCACCGTCGGTGCTTGCCTTTGTTCTGTGTGTTTTAAACTCTATTTCCTCTTGTGGGTCCGATCGTGAAAAAAAAAATCCGAAATGAGGTGGTCCGCTGCTTTTTGACTGGATGGACTCGTTCCTCAAATTGACATGTCACTAGTATTTTTATAAGAACCAACGTCTCAAATCAAACTGGGCCATAGCCTTGACGGTATTTTTATAAAAACTCCAAAAATACTTTGCATTCAAACCGAGTCTTAGCTCCTTCGGCCACCGCAGCAGGAGAGTCAAAGCTAAATGAACCATTCCAAACGTATCCACTTCGTCCCTCTAAAATAACTGCACATCTTATTTTTCAATATAATAAAAATATTATCAATATTTATTTCTTCTAATTTATTAATTATTAAAAAATATTTTACTGTTAATCTAATAGTACTTATCATGTATCATGAATAATGGCATTTTTATTTATATATTCGGTCAATGCGACGTTATCGCAGTCGCAGCAGTGAAAAGTGAGTAACTGGGTACATTACTACACGTCGTCTCTGCGCGTGTACGTGGGACACGTATAGCGCGCGGGCTTTTTTTTTCAGAATAACGTAGATGTGCCCATTGTTTTCAATTCTGAAAACCAACAAGTTTTTTTTTGAACGAAACAAACCAACAAGTTATTACTTTTTTGATTTACTGATGTACTGGAGTACTAGTGAAATCGTATGCAGAATTCTTGTTTCACCGATGAACAGAAATCTATGTACTAGACCTATTTTATCATTATATGTCAAAAAAAGATTATATTGAAGTCCCCACCAAGAAAAGTAGGGAATTGACGGCGTCTGGGCCTCTGATGGGATAGGATTCCATCGGACGGTACCGAACGGTCCAGCAGAAACGCGCCGCACTCCCACCATATCGTTGTAGTACTTCCCCGCCTGCCTCGTCCCTCCACGCACAAGCACCCTGCCCCTGTCCGTCTCGCCCTGCCCCGTGCACGCCGCTCCTCCCCCTGACCCCCTCCTCTCTCTCCGCGTAGGCGGGCCCCAGGAGCCGGGATGAGGACGAGCACGTCCTGTTTGTAGGACCCCAGGCGCGCCGCACGCCCCATCCGCCGGCCCGCACCCCTTCCCTTAGCACCCGGACCGTGCCCCATGACTCTCTGAACATACATCTGAAACACGAAACACTTGAACGCAACATACGTCTGAAGTAGATGAAACATTTAGAACATACACTTGCAACATGTGTGTGAAACATATGTAACATCCAGATAAAACACTTACAGCTTGCAACATGAAAGCACTTATTGCAACATAATATTGTAATAGCTGAAAGATTTCGAGCATACTTTTGCAGCATATGTGTGAAACATATGCAACATCCAAATAAGCACACTTCCAACATACGTGAAACATTTGGAATGGACGCTAGCAACATACGTGTACAACTATTGCAACATGTGCAGAATCACGATCTATTTTTGCAATATCCATATGAAACACTTTGTGACATACCTCTGAAACAATTGAAACATACACTTGTAACATGCTCTTTCAATGCAACCTCTCCTTGCTGCTCGGCAGAATAGAGGCTCGTCAATATGTGATGTTCACCGGAAGCAGCGGCTCGGTGGCGCTTGTAGGCGACGGGCCGGCGGCAGTGGCTACACATCGCAGAAGGGAGGCATCGGCCGCACGAGCGGTGGGGAGGCCGTGGCCGCGTGACTTGGAGAGGGCAGCAACACGCCGCACCTGGCAGGGCTAGCAGCCGAGCCCCGCGACTCAGAGGCGGCCGCACGCCGTGCCTGATAAGGCCAGCAGCCGAGCGATGTGCCTCAGAGGCGGCCGAGCGGTGCTTATATAAATAAAATTTTTAAGTTGATAAGTTTTTTCTGAAACAAATTATATAATGCGCAGGATAAGTTGGTTATATTTTTTTTAAAAAAACATGGAACAATGAAAACTTATGCGTACAAGTTTTGTTATTAGTAAAATTTATTATATAAAATTTGCGCTAGAAACATTATGTTAAGAAATTGTTATGATATATTTATCCATGGATAATTATAAACAAAAGTTCGTTTTTAAAGGTTATATCGGTGAGCGAGATCTTCAACAAGTTTGGGTGGTGTTTTAAAAATTGGATTGAGTCCTAATTTTTATGTCTTTGCTTTGTATGGAGTCTTAACGATTCGTATTACCGTGTGGTGGAGCATGATGTCAGTGTCATGAATTTGTGCTAAACGGCTATACTGATTCATTCGTTAATGTTTGGAGACCGAATTACTCATATTACTTAATCTAAAAATATCAAAAAGTTATCGAAAAACAGATTTGAGATTTAATTAAGGAACACAGGCGGGTACCTTTTTTTATATTGAAGCAGTCAAACAAAGTTGGAACCAAACACATGCATCTGGACAGATGGAATTTGGTTGAGAGCATAACCCGGGCTTAACTGAGCCATCAACCATCATACGTGACAGCAGTCCTGACCACTTGTTGCAATACTTTATGCTATCGATGCACCGAATTCAACATCCCCCGCTCGACACAAACACAATTCCTACTGTGTAGCATATGCACGCAGATTACTTCTCCGGAGCCGGAGCCGGCGCCGGCGCCATTAAGAGCTTTTGGCAGGGTTTCTGCAGGGGCTTTAGCTCCGGCTCCTGCAGGGCTGTGCCAAACGTCTGTTTTGGAAATGGCTCTGCATAGGGAGCCGGTCAAGAGCCAGAGCCATTTTTTACCTGCGCAGGAGAAGCCTAAAAAACAAACTTCGCGCGGCTCCTTGCTGTGGGTTCACGCCGTCTAGTTCGAAATTGCCCCTGTACTTCAATGGTAATTACTACCAAATTGCCACCGCATCTTTATCCCTTCCCCTCTTTTCCTCCGTATGCAGACACCACACGACGCGCTCAGCGTGACCGCGAGAGAGGTCGCGACCACGCGCTAGGGTTCCGATGAACCAGCTGCGGCGTCCGGCGGCCGGTGGGCGGAGCACGCACACGAGTGGATCTGGCGGCCCTGGTGCTCCAGCAGCCGGCGCGAGGATGGCCGCGGCCCGGACCGGCGGATCGGAAAGCGCCGCCACTGGCGTCTTCAGCTGCTCCGGCGCTCCTCCAGCTGGCGCGACGGCCGCGTCGTGGCCTAGCGGACCAGCAGGCGCCGCCACCAGCCTGGCCGCTACCGGGAACGCCTCCATGTCGGGCGGCCTGGGCGATGGGTTCCCGGACTGGTTCAATGGCGCGGCGTCCGCCGCGCTAGGCTCGGATTGGCTGTCGTATGAGATTGGTGCCACCCATGCCGAAGAAGGAAGTGCTCCGGCCCCAGTGCAGACCACGTTGTCAACTCGCCGCAGGGGAGGTGGGCGCACTGGGAGGAGAACAAGGCCGCCGGTTCAAACAAGCACTCCTGCTGTCGACACTGAGGCTAGGTGAGATATGCTTCAGTTCCATAACTATGATTTTGTTCATGCAATGAATTGTCCTGTGATTTTGTTTATGCAATGAATTGTCCTGTAATATGCATAAAAATGATCTGTTAGGATTTGTGATGCTGGATTATCATGCTATGATGGAAGGAAACATATTATTGCCATGCATTCCCGTGTATGTACTGTCCTATTTTGATTGGATAGTTCTTTGCTAACCTTGTAAGTTCTTTGCTCAAATGGGGCTTTGATCGGGACGGATGAAAATGTTAGGATAGTTTGTGAGCTTTTTGCCGAACAAGTGGAGATTGGAAATCGTTCAAATACTCATTTGAACAAAGTTTGGTTTCACAAATGTGATCCAAAAGTTCAAACAGAGGACATGAATTACATGCAAGAAAGCAGTTTAAAAATAAATGGGAGAAGTTGAAAGTTGAGTATGGTATTTGGAAGCAATTGGTTGATAAGCAGACCGGTATTGGATGGGATGAAAGTGGCAAGAATATTAACATGCTTGAAGAATGGTGGAAGAAGATGGCAAATGTAAGTTCAAATAAATTTGCATGTACTTCCATTGCAGGCTGTATATTTTGAAACATCTATATTTTGTGTTTCCATTGTAATTGAAACCAGTATATTTGTGGTGTTTCCATTGCAGGCAGTCAAGGGATCGGGACGTTTTTCGATATAAAGGCCTTCAAAATGAGGACAACTTTGAGCATAATGTTTGAAGACCTTCAGAACACGGGTGACGACCATTGGGGTCCCTCTAGCGATGTAGCACCATCACAGGCTATACCTTTGGATGATGATGATGAAGATGAGGCGAGAATGAAGATGATAGTGATCCCGATGAAGTAACACCAAGTGCCGGACCCAAAAGAGGTAAATCTCAAGGTAATGCAAAGGGAAGAAAACAAAAGACTAGTGGCGGCCAAAGGTGGTTTCGAGGAACAAATGGGCAAACTTTATTTGACTGTGTTGTATGAGATCATTTATTTGGCTGTGTGTATGAGACCATTTATTTGTTGCTGTTATTATAATAAAAATTGTGGTCCTCTCTCTATTTATTGGTACTTATTGAAGTGTGTTTGTGTGGTAAACAGATCTGAAACTACAGATAATGATATGGATGACAGTGGGAGTGACGAGGATGATGATGACTGCAAAATAAAGGCTTTGAGAGTGTTGCAGTCTGCTCAAAACAATATTTTCTGTACTGCACTTCTTCTCAGCAAGTATTATTTGACATACCTTCATAAGAATGAGCCAAGAATAGCTGGACAGACTGGATATGCTAAGGTACTGGAAATTTTGCAAACTCTAAATGGGAGCCATAAGATGTTCAGAATGCAGACTGCAGCATTTTACATCTTGCATGAATTGCTGGTGAGTACTTATGGTCTGAAATCATCCATTCATATGAACTCTATTGAAGCACTTGCTATGTTTCTTATGGCATGTGGCCATGGATGGTCCAATGGTGCTACACAGTATGTCTTCAACCATTCTGGAGAGACAATTAGTAGAAAATTTGAAGACGTATTGCACTGTATGGTGGCATTGTGTGAGGACTACATAAGGCCAATAGATCCTAACTTCTCTACAACACACCCTAGGATTTCCAATGATAAAAGAATGATGCCATTTTTTAAAGATTGTATTGGTGCACTAGATGGTACCCATATTTCCGCAACACCACCTTCACATGATGCTATTAGATACTTTGGTAGAAGTCGCAAAGCAACACAAAATGGCACCTATGCCTCTATTGGACAACCTGGGTCCATGCATGACACAAGTGTGCTCTTTCATGCTTTAACCAAGGATCAAGACAAATTTCCACACCCCCCTCAAGGTATGAATGCCTAAGATGCTATTGACAAATTTAACACAACCTGCTGTATGGTAATATATTAATATGTCTTCTTTTTCACTTGTGTGCTTAGGCAAATATTATCATGTTGATGCTGGATACCCAAATCGCCTTGGTTACTTGTCACCATACAAGGGGGAAAGGTACCATATTCCGGATTGGAGGAGGGGTCCTACTCCAAGTGGCCAGCAAGAGCTCTTCAACCATTTGCATTCAAGCATTCGCAATGCGGTAGAACGTACATTCGGTGTGTGGAAAATGAAGTGGAGAATCCTTATCAAGATGCCGAGTTACCCAATGGAAAAGCAAAAGATGATTGTTGCGGCAACCATGTGTCTACACAACTACATTCGTGAGACCAATGTGGTAGATAGAGATTTCCACAAATGTGATCGAAATCCAGACTACATACCAACCATACCTTCTAGATACGCAAGACATTCAAATCCATCAGATACATCAACTACTGCATCCAATGATCGAAACATGGATAGATTCCGGGATGACATTGCAAGAGCAATTTTCCTTTCTAGATCATCATGATCATGTAGTTTGATGATATTTCAATATCATTCCTACTTTTGTAAATGTTATTGTAGTCTAACGAACACTATTAGTAGGTAACGTTATTTTACATGTTATCCTTGTTAATTTTGGTCAGTCGTTTGACAAAGTGACATCAAGGATCATATGTACAACCAAGTTAAAGCAAGGGCAATATGGACATTCACCCTCTTCCATCCATTCTATAAAAACAGAAGGAGCCATTTTGTCAAACGTTTTCCAGAACGGCTTCAGTCGATTCAGACAAACCAGAGCCGGAGCCCTTACCTCGCCGTGGCCACAAACGAGTCCTTCCTGGCGCTGAAACGAGCGAGCAGCTCCTCCCTGTCGGACAGGCACTGCTTCACGGCATCGTGGGAGGTGTACTCCTTCGCCCACCGGCACAGGTCCGGGTACTCCTCGGCGGTGACCAGGCTGACGCCGGCGACCTCCTCGCAGACCGGGAGCCAGTGCGCGAACGCGCTCGCGGCGACGTCGAGGTAGCCCACGGCGTCGCCGCCGAAGAAGCGCTTCCCCTTCCCCTGCCCCTCCAGCAGCTTCAGGTTCTCCTTGATCTCCTTCACGAACCCCCTCTGCACCTCGCCCTCCGTCCACATCGCCAGCCAGAACTCCGTCGAGCACTGCCGGCGTCCAGGAACATGCACACCATTCGATCGATCACGACTTCGAACGAACCTGAAGAAACTTGTGATGTCAACCGGGGTTAACTGTTGCCTTGTCGTCGATGAAGCGGGCCCAGAAGCGATCGGCGGGGAGGAGTGGCGGGCCCTGGAACGCCTCGTCGACGTACTCGACGATAACGAGCGACTCGCAGACAGCGCGGCGGTCGCCGTGGAGGAGCACGGGCACCTTCCTGTGGACGGGGTTGTGCTGCAGCAGCAGCTCGCTCTTGTTGCGCAGGTCCTTCTCCAGGATGAGCTCGTAGGGAACTCCCTTGCGGCTCAAGGCCGCCTCCGCGCGGTGGCTGAACGGGCTATCGAAGAAGCCGATCCCCTTCACCGCGCCGCCGCTCATTTTTGCTTGCTTGCCCTCGCCGGCCGTAGTAGCCGTCGTGATCTTCTTTGGCTAATGGGTGGGCTTGTTGCTATTTGTAGCGCCTCATTACTGAATTGAGTACTGCTACACCAGCTAGTTTACTTGATTTTTTTGCTGAATCTTCTCCGGGAATAATTGAAGGGTTTGTTTAGAGCGCTCACCTCGTCTGTTCGTTTGGCTTATAAGCCGTACTTTTTCAACCAACGAATAGTATTTTTCTTTCACAATAAATTAGCCAACAGTACTTTCAGTCATGACTTATCAGTCAACCGAACAGGACACTAGTTTCGTAGTTTTGCGGCTCGTTTCATAAAGATTGTATTCCAGTTCTGACTAGTCCTAATAGGTCAAACAGTTTTGTTTTGATGACCAACGATTCAAACCCGTATACAGTTATTTGTTTAACATGTGAATTATGTACAGAAAAACATACAGAGTATGGTATTAAACTGTACTAATTTCAAGAAATTGATGGTAGCATGTAGAAATGTTTGATTTGGCTCTTATCGCCAGTGCTATTCAACCGACTTTAATCCGTACAAATCAACCGTGGAACAATATTTTTCTCTCACAACAAACCAGTCGTACAAATCAGCAGAAGCCGATTTAAATACTAGCCGAACAGGGGTAGAACAATAGTATTTTTCAACGAAACAAACAGTGTTTTTCTATCATAACAAATCAACATAAGTGTCAGCATAAGCCAAATTTCAATGGAACGAACAAGGCTAAAGAGAGAGTAGTTTGGTACAACAGTAGACTGTAGCTTGGAAATGGGCTAACAGTAAGATCTACTTTGATTCCAGTTTTGCGTGCTTCTAAATCATCAAAGGACATGCATTGATTCTTTTTTTTTCACAAAGATTTACGTACTTTTATATTAAGAGAGAATAGTTTGATTACAATAAGGAAGGCTTAAATCTTTTCAATAAAGCTCATGCCCTCCCCGACATGATGCAACGCTAGCCTATTACTCGCTGTGATTCGGAGTTGTTCATGGATCAAGGACTGAATTGGAAGGTGGAGAATTTAGAGGTCCGTACTTTGCAACCAGAGCATTTGTAAAATAAACATGTAGTCACAACTTGGTGGATTATGATAATGGCACTGCAAGCACCCAAACGTTCGGACGTCCGTGGCTGCAGTATGTTTCTGCGCCTGACGTCGGCATCTGCCGCTCCTAGGAAGTTGCGCCCCCAATTCGTGCCTCTGTTAGGACGCTCGCGCCTCCTCCGCTTTCCGCCCACGCCCCCTCTGCTTGCCGCATCCACATGCCACGCGGGGACTGCCTGCGCACCTGCCGCCATCGCCCTCCGCTTCCCACGCCCGCTACCGAGCAGCGCTCCATCTCTCCGCTCCCCCACGAGTATGCACGGTGCTCAAGCAGCCACAGTAGGCGGTTGTGGCAGGGTGGTGTCACATTACGACATGTGCAACATTCCGATCTACTTTTAAAACATATAGATGAAACATTTGCAACATACGTACGAAATAGCTAAAACACTTGCAACACTTCAAAACTCTTGAAAACTATTGCAAACATATGCAACATACAGATAAAACATTTACAACATATGTGTGAAACACATGCAATATCTAGACGAAACACTTGCAACGAACGTCTAAAAATACAGATGAAACATTTAGAGCATACACTTGAAACATACGTGTATAGCCATTGCAACATATATAACATCACGATCTATTTTTGCAACGTCAAGATGAAATATACGAAACATCAAGACTCGTGTCAAAGTTAGATGGTTTTGTAGTTGGAGCATACCAAATGTTTTCTAATAAATTAAAATTATACGAAACCTTCTAGTGACGTGGTTTTTAAAACAACATCATGACCCTCCACCGTCATCAAAGCAGCACACTACCATTATATCTTATTTAATCTAAACAACATCATGACCCTACTGACGTGGCAGGGCAGGAGTTTACATGTTCTCATACAATGAGTCAATGACACAACAATCCCCAAGACCCCACACGAACGCCATCACCGTATTACTGCTGCTGCAGCGTCGCCGTGGCCACTGCTTTGACCTTGCCTTTCTTTTTGCAGTTGCGGAGAAGTGGGCTTTGAGATGCTCTATGCTCGGTAGGCACTGCATCACAGCTTCGTTGGACGTGTACTCCTTCGCCCAGCGACGCAGAGCAGGGAAGTCGTCGTCTCCCCCCACCAAGTCAAGCCGCGCCTCTGTTAGAATCCCGAACCGACGAGAGGAAAAAGATGAACAACACACGCGAACATAGTGGACACACGATGATCTGTTGCTGCAAAGCGGCAGCGTTTTCTGTTGCTTGTTATCTCTATTTAAAAGAAGTACATGTATTGTTACATGGAAACAAATGACCGAGCTAATCCCGGCATGCTCGTGATAGGCAGTTGCCATCCCAACCACATGGGCCATGCCGCAATCCTCGCAGCGGCCGCTAATGGCGCTAGCCGCCTCTACCTGCTATAGTTAGGAAGCTCAGGACTTATCTCAACAATCTCATCCTAAGTCCTAGAGCAACTAAACTAAGTTTTTCATGCCGATCCCACCACGGAGTTCCTGAAACCGTCTGCGGCCGAGCGCCTTCGTGAGAATGTCACTCAGCTGCAGCTCAGTGCCGACGAACTCCACGTCGATCAGCTTCCTGTCGCAGCATTCCCGGATGAAATGAAACTTCACGTCTATGTGCTTACTCCGGTCATGGTGCACAGGATTCTTCATCAGTGCGATGGCGGACTTGTTGTCCACCTTGACCTTGGGCGCGATGACACAGCCAGCAGCCGAGCCAGCCAAACCCCTTCACACGCAGCTCCGGTAGCCGCAATGTATTCCGCCTCGCAAGAGGATAGTGCGACCACCTTTTGCTTCGCCGACTGCCATGCAATCGGCCCGCCGGCGAGGAAGAAGATGAGTCCGCTGGTGCTTTTCCTGTCATTGACATCTCCTGCCAAGTCGCTGTTGGAGTAGCCCATCAGGTGTGGCGCGGTGTCCTTGCCTCCTCCCGGGTAGTAGTGCAGACCCCAGTGCACCGTGCCCGCTGAAAGGATCAAGATGCCCAAGAGGGGGGGTGAATTGGACTAATTCTAAATTTCTTTCAATAACTAAATCCTACGGTTAGCCCAATTAACCCCTTGTGCCTAAAAAGTGTTTCTAATTGTTCTACCGCACAAAAGATATGCAACCTAAGTTCCAATCCGACTCTAGCATAGCAATTCTATGAATTGTAAAGACAAGAATTGAATTGCTCAAAGTAAACGCACAAAGTAAAGAGAGGAGAAGGAACGCGGCGATGTTTTGCTGAGGTATCGGAGAGTCGCCACTCCCCACTAGTCCTTGTTGGAGCACCCGCGCAAGGGTGTAGCTCCTCCTTGATCCGCGCAAGGATCAAGTGCTCTCTACGGCTTGATTCTTCGACACTCCATCGCGGTGAATCACCCAAAACCGCTCACAACTTGAGTTGGGTCATCCACAAACTCTCCGGATGATCACCAAACTCCCAATCACCACCAAGCCGTCTAGGTGATGGAGATCACCAAGAGTAACAAGCACGAACTCTCACTTGACCACAACAAGCCTAGAGAGAAGGGTGGATGCACACTTTGCTACTCTTGATCTTCACTAATGAGGGCTCTCTTTGGATTCTCAAATCTCAATCACCTCATTAGGGCCTTGCTCTTCTTGGCACTCTCTAGGGTGTTTCTCAGCTGTTGGAATGAGCAAAAGTATCCCCACACACGAGTGGAGGTGGTATTTATAACATCAGCTGAAAAACGAACCGTTATGTGCCACTGCGGGGTGACCGGACGCTTCGGTCATGTTGACCAGACACTCCGGTCAGTTCTCCCCGAGTTCCAGTGTTTACTGTGTGACCGAACCCTGGTAGCGTCTGGTCAGCACTGACCGGACGTGTCCAGTCATGATTTTTCCTCTCTAGAACCTTACTGTAAACGACCGGACGCTAGCTCTCAGCGTCCGGTCGCACCGAACGCAATCTCCTAAGTCAAATGAACTGACCGGACTCTGCGCTAGCGTCCGGTCGCACCGAAGCCAGCGTCTGGTCAGTATTTGACCCTCCATTTACTTCCAACTCTCGATCATATGTGGATGAAGTTTGCTCCATTGGATCTTAGGCATATGCAGGAGCTACCTAGCGCTAGTTTTAACAAGTGTGCACCACACCTAACTCACTAGACTCACCTAGGTCAAGCTACCCGTCCATACCTCCCTTAATAGTACGGCCAAAGGAAAAACAAAGTCCTAAACTACTCTAAGTGTCTCTACAACTCCAAACGACACTTAGAACTAGTCCATCCTTAACCTTGTTGTCCATCCTTTGAAAACCGAACCGATTTCCATCGTAGGGGCATGACAACCATGATTGCCCAATTGATCTCCATTACCGTGACCTAACTTAATTGCCTCTACAAAACACACGTTAGTCACAGTAATCTTATATTGTCATTAATCACCGAAACCCAATTATAGCCCTAGATGCTTTCAATCTCCCCTTTTTTGGTGATTGATGACAATACTACCTCGAGTATGTGAAAGAGTTGAGGTTTTTAACATGCTTGGTTCATATAAGCTTTTAGCAATAAGAACAAAAGAGTTAGTCAAGCTTATATGACCCAAGCCATCATAATGTACTCTAATGATATGAAATAAGCATGAGTACATGTAATAAAGCTCATTTGCATCGGAGTAAAACGCGGAAGCAAAAGCAAATGAGCATAACACAAGTGATATGACATATAAGTAATTCAAAGTAGAGAGCACACATGTCATATATCACGATCACGTAGATATCACTATCACATATATATAGTTTAATGCATGAAAATAAACACACGATGAATGCATAGTAGTGTATCACACATAAAAACTCCAAATGTAGTATATAAGCTAATAATATAACTAAGCTCCCCCTAAATACGTCGCTCCCCCTAAGGCTAACATACTCGATCCCTCTTCCCC